GGCAATGAGGGGAAACATTTAAAAATGATAACCTTTTATTCAAAACTTTTTCATAGCCGATTTTAAGAAATATATTTAAATGACGTTTGAAACTTTGGGATATCTCAGTTTTGGAAATTAAATCTGGGAAAAGTTTGAATTTTGATATTTTGTTTTGATTGTCACTGGTTTTCCAAATGCAATTCGAAATCCAAATGTTTAAATTTGTTTTGTTTAAGGTGCAAGGTGGAGAGTTTGTAATGATTGAAATAGATCGATCAAACCCAGAATCAAGACAGGTGAAGAAATATCCCCCACATTGTCCCCCCGGGTATTTATTGTTTTAAATATTTCCCTCACCCCACCCATCCTACTTGAAAAATCATTTTGATCCACCCAAAATGTTATGAAAGTTTGCGTAGAGCATCAAAAAACATCTTTTGGTTATGTCCAATTTTTCAAAGTTCTTCAAAATATATTCCCCCCCCCTCTTCCTTTTCTTCCTCTATTTGTAGATGGATAAGAATAAAATATCGTAGTGTAGTGTGGGTGTCCCTCTACTGAATACAGTGCATACTGCATGTGATTGCATGAACAAAATGTTAAGGGTTTAAGCCAGTATCTTAAATCCTCGTCATGCGTCATGCACACAATTTCTAGGCATTGTTTGATTCAAATTAATCACGTTTCCTAAAAACTTGAAAATGATTCATATTTGTGTGTTTATTGGTAGCCGTTTGGATTGATCATCAAAATTGCAAGTATTTACGATTGATTGATTGATTGATTGAATGATTGATTGATTGATAGATAGACAGACATTGTTAATTTTTACTGTTGGCGAAAGTTAGTTAGTTTTTAAAATTTGGTGTTGATGATGATCCAATCCTCATATAGTATTGTTTCAAGATTAAACTTAAGATATTTATTATTTATGATAATATTGTAATATTAGTTAATTTGTTTTCATCATCTGTTAAATTATCATTTACCAATTGTGTCGGTGCAGGCTTTTTTTGTAAGCAAAGGTTTTTAAGAACTAAAACGGTCGAAACGGTGTTGGTTGAGTTAAAAAGTTGTCTTACAGGTCGCACATTGTAAGAGCAGAAAATCTGTCAAAACGTTTCAAATGTGGACTTATGAAATTGTCAGAAAACTTGTACAGAGTGAGCTCTGACTTAAAGTTTTATTTGAAGTAAAATTTTTTTGAAGGATTGTCCAGACGTGAAAGGTTGGAAATATTTGACAAATTTGAAAAATATTTAATTTCGAGAACTTGAAACTAAATTTCAATGATTAAAATAAAATATTTAGGAATTTAGTGAATTATCTGTCTATCCACTACGTATTCCTGAAACTGTTGATATCCTGGGAGGCCACTACAGGTAGTCTTCTTAATATTTTACTCCTATTTCGTAATCCCCCTTTTCTGCCTTTTCAATTACATCAATATTATTAGGGGTGTATGTATACTTTATCGAATAATCAGTTTGCTTAACCCTCCTTTTTGGAAATTATTTTGTCTCCCCAGAAAATATATTTTTGCTTCATTTTTTCTTAAAATTTTTTTTCGCTGAATTAAAAGTATCAAAAAGAATGAAAAAAGTTGCCAGTTGATTTCCACTTTTTCAGTTTCCCCCCCAAATCATCAAAAATAATTCTAAAAACTATACACCCCTGTATTATGCCCATAGAAATCTTGAAACTTGCACAAAAATTTGAGTGTTTCAAGTTAACTTGTGAATTTGGAAGCGACATAGATTTGGGTTGAAAAATGGAAGCAAAATATTGATGGCATCATAAGCCGTCAATTTTGATATTCCGGTAAAAACCTAACTTTATAGAATCCAGCTTTCTTAATATTGAACATAAATTGGTTTAGCCTTATTTCTGGATCAGCTGTTAAAGACTGTTCTTCTGCAAACCGTTTGCCCTATTTTGAAATCGATTTCACAGATTTGGATTTTTGCTCATTTTAAACGTCAGCAGGACGAAATTAGATTTTTTAAATTGAATATTGTGATAGAGGTTAAACTATGGAAAAAAATTTGTTATTTGTGGCAAATTTGTCGGTCCTAATTTTCAATTTTTTTTATTTTTGTCAGCTATTTAGGACTAATTTTTTGGCCTAAAATAATATTTATGGCATCGAAATTAGTTTTGTCTTCGATACTAACTATGGCAGTTATTTTGTGTCTAAATGTTGTTATTTTGGTTCTAATGGGTGTTTAGTCTTCACCCAGATTAATCCTAAATTAAACACTACTAGAGACACAACCACAGAAGGGGTAGTTTTGTAAATACTGTTAGGGGTTCTACTTTATATTTTAGAATAAAAATCTGAGGAATAATAAAATTTGAGACGTGGCTCAAACCTGGCTTGTTCTTCTTGACAATGTATTCAGTGACGCGGTTTTAAATTCTGAAAAAATTGGCCCTCCGTTCATATTTTATCCTTGAATGGATCCTGTAACCCCGCAATATTCCGTACATTTTAAAATACCCAATTTTAGAGTTTTCACTGAAATTACCAGTTTTCCGTCGGATTTCAGAACTTCAATTTCTCTAAAAAAAACATTTCTTTAGCGGCTGAGCTTTAGTTGACACAAATAAGAGGCTTATGGCCTCAATATTGCTGACCCCCCCCCCTTGATTCTCTTCAGGGGGGGGGGGGGAGCTCTGGTAACTATTTACCCCTGGTTAGTGTCCCTTGTTTTCTATTTAATATTAAATGTTTAGTTTGTTCTGCTTGGTGAACCCTGAGATAGGATCCGCGGGACATTATTCTTTAAACTTTATACAAGAAAATCAGATTATATACCTTCATGAAACTAATCTTGTCCTAAAGGTAAACTTTGTAATGTTTCCCACAACGTAAACAAATCTATATTTTCATTTTACCAAATACTTTTGAACTTTTTTAGAAATATCGCAAATCTATATTTTATAGGGTCTCATTTTTTTCCGGATCAATTTGGATCCACAAAAGATCTTACGGAATTTTTCCTAAAGCTTTTAAGAATGATAAACCTTTAGCAAATGCCTTACTCCAACAATGTTCTCTTAGGTCTGTACCAATCCAGGTATAGCCTTCTGTATTCTCAAGTATCTATCAATCAAGATACGATACTCTATGTATTCTTCAATTTGTATCGTACAGATACCACTCACGTTTGAACTTAAGGTTCCTAGTAATACTTCAGGCTGTATCAATCCAGATATGACGCCATATGAATTCCTTTAGTCTTTAACTATCGTTCGAGATACAACTCGAGTTGACTCTCTGCTTCTCTACACGAGAATAATACAAGTCTAAACGTAATGAAGTAACGATTCATGTCCTAATTATACCAAATCGTAGTACATGAGAATCATGATAATGATGTGGACTGATAGGTCTTCTCAGAAGCTGACGAACGTAATTAGGGTACAGATAATGTTAACACGCAGTGTTTAGGTACAAATGTGGGGTTTACTATCAATATTTATTACAAACCATTAAAATTTTTTGGAAATTAAGGGCGGAACCTTTGAAAATCGGTTTTTCGATTTTCAAAATTAATCCAGAAAAAGTGGAAACCCTTTATCTTCAACGCTTGGTGTCTAATATCCACTGTTAGGATTTTTATATTTGAGCATATTGCTCGATTTCTCAATTCTAGTTATCCCTACAACTAAATACCAGCAAGACTGCTTAAAATGTGGTTCTGTGAATCGTATCTCAAAAGTTTTGACCTTGGGTTGTTGATTTTTATTTATTTTAATTTGATTTGATTTTACTTTTTATGATTTATTTCAGACTGTTTATCCTGGTATGGATCAAACTACTCTCCTACTTGTATTAAGAAAAATAAAGGACTCCTTTCCAGAGCAAACTCACCCACCAAACCCTCCGTCAAAAAATCCACCAGACCCCTCTTCAAGTAATCTGCAAGTGCTCTCCTCAAGTAATCCACCACCATTTTCACATAATCCGCCAAATCCCCCAGAAAATCCGCAAGTTATAAATACTGAATATTTTTCCAATAAATCTGAAGATCTGGAAATAAATCAAGAAAGAAATATAAACTATGCAATAAATTTAGAAGAAAATAATATATCATCGATTGAAGGCGCAATTGAACTTAATTTGCCAGAAGTTGAGTTCAACACTGACGAAGTTAAAACTGACACTATTTTAAAGAACACGGACGAAACAAACACTGAATTGGACAATAAGAAATATCAGGTAAAACCTTTTCTGATTAATTTCCGCTCCTCCTTTCATTTACCCCCCCCACACCAAATTTAGCTTTGGTGTAACTACATATTTTTTGGTGGTGGTGGAGGGCAAAGAGTGGATGGGTGTTAATTAACTTGCTTTTCGAGTGAAATTTCGGTGAAAATCTCGCCCATCTGACGATCAGTAACTGGTTTATTAAAGGTTGTACTAAAATGTCAACTCGAACCCTCATTAAAATACTTAAATATTGCTTTCCTCAAACCAAAGAATAAAGAAGAAAAAAGTGAACTGCATTTTCAGGGGGAAATATAAAAAAGCTTTGCTTGCGCAACACTGCGTTTGTTTACATGCCACCCAATACTAGGATCATCCCTAATTTGTAATTAAATCTGTGGGAATTCCTTTATACTTAATTATTTAATTTTACTTCTCTATTTTATCTGGTTTTCACTTATTATATTTTAAATGTATTCTTGTTCAGGGATATAAAGTATTTAAGAGGGACGGAAAGCTGCGAAAATCTAAATATTTATCTGTGGAAAGCCTGGCTATCCTTGGAAGCACAAATCCAGATATACTCAACAAATACAGGTCATACATAAATCCGTCACACGGGAATGTATCTTTTTTAAAAAAAAAACCATTTTTCTTCTTCCCCCCCCCCCCACTTATGAATTTTTTTCGCCCTCATAAGTGATTTGTGTTGCGCTGAGCGCAAATTTTTTTTATGAACTTTTGGGTACTGAAAGGTATCAAATCCTATCCTTACTCCCCTATTTGACAGTATGACGGAAAGACGGGAACAGAAATATCTTGTTGCAAAGGATTACAAAGTTTGAATTAAAATATCTAACGCACATTCAAATTTGGCAATATTTTGAAAGATTCTTGAAAATCTGAATTCAACAATCTGCAAACAAACTTACAAGTTGTATAAAGACTTGTTGAACTTTAAAGTTGTAGTGCGTAAAAAGTATGTTCTATAGTTTAAAACTAATACCTATCATTTTTACTTTAGAACATTTACTTTTCTTAGAATAAGTCCCTCAAACTTGAAATAGATTGCCTTGGCCTCGTATGTGAAGTTTAAATTACTTCCAATTTTCCCAATCAAGAAATTCAGGGGTTTTAATATATTCACCAAATTAAGTTTATCGGTGCCAAATTGATTATAGGTTGACAAACCGCATTAAACTTTATTAATATTTTTATTTGTATGGACTTATATTTATAAATTTGACTTTTCTGTCCGTTTGTTTGATTCCAATAAACGTCGAAACTGCTGAACCGACCGGGCCCGATTATTTTTAGCAGCTCACATGACCCCAGAGAAGATTTATTGACGGTCAAATTTGACTTTTATGATTTTAATAAATCCACCAATTTCTGCGAAAATCTAGTCTTTGCAGAGAACGATACAAAATTACGACTGTAACAAAGTTATTCTTGCCAAATGAATATCGGGAATCTACAAAGAACTCGTACACAACTATTTTTGTATTTGTAATAAGCTTTTTAGAAGTTGTACTGAACTGCTCATAATTTGTCATCAAGTTTTAAAAAGATTTTTATTTCTGCTGATAAAACATGAAAGAATGCAAGTTTCCTATTTGTGCTTTAACAACTTTTTTCTAACATCTTATTTAATTTTGTTTGAAGAAGGAAAGTTTATTATGAACAATCAAATCTCTTGCAAAGATGTTTCTTTTATTTTTTTTCTAGCAATAATAACTTAACAGATTATTCCTCTTAAGTATGTTTTAAACAATCATGTTTCTAACATTAATTTTTCTGGGAAACATGTTTCTAGTAATCATATTTCAAGCAATCATATTTCAAGCAATCATATTTCAAGCAATCATATTTCTAGCAATCATGATTCTAGTAATCATGTTTCTATCAATCATATTTCTATCAATCATATTTCAAGCAATCATATTTCTAACAATCATGATTCTAGTAATCATGTTTCTAGTAATTTTGTTTTTGAGCAATAATATTTCTCTTATGAGTCTTATTCATATTGCCGGTAATTATATTTCTAACTATCGTGTTTCTAGTGATAAGATTTCTCAAAATTACATTTCTCTGAATCATTTGTCTAGCAATAATTTTTCTAGCAATAATGTTTCTAGCAATCATGTTTCTAGCAATTATGTTTCTAGCAATAATGTCTCTAGCAATCATGTTTCTAGCAATAATGTATCATTGCAATCATGTTTCTAGCAATCATGTTTCTGGAAATAATGTTTCTAGCAATCATATTTCCGGACACTATGTTTCTGGCAATATTTCTAGCAATCATATTTCTGGCAATCATGTTTCTGGCAATATTTCTAGCAATCATATTTCCGGACACTATGTTTCTGGCAATATTTCTAGCAATCATATTTCTGGCAATCATGTTTCTGGCAATATTTCTAGCAATCATATTTTTGGCAATCATGTTTCTGGCAATATTTCTAGCAATAATTGTTCTGTCCATCATATCTGTATTAATGTTTGAATTGCAGGCAGAAATATGCTGAGAAAAGAAGGGTAGATAAGTCTGCTGGAGGGATCCAGGCTGGCAGCTCCCTTGCTAGTCTTGGAAAACAAGTTTTTAAATCTGCTCCTCTCAAGGAACTGGAAAATATTCTAATTGTGGCCATTTCGCGTTTAATTCCCCACCCCCTAGTGATGTGCTTTTTGGGTCGGTTTTGGCCCTTTTTTCTTTCAGAATTTGGCATAGTCGAAGAAGAAAAAATGTTGTCAAAGGAATTGCTTTTCTTACGCTGTAAAATTTGGCCCTGACAGAAGATTTATGCAAAAAAAGATACTAAATGAAGCGAAAGTGAACGCGTCGTAACTATTTTTTTAGATCGTTTTACCTTTTTTTATGGATAAAGATGTGGCAAAGTTTTAAAGAAAGAAAACTTTCATGAGTTTCACATAATAATACAGATCCGAAATATTGGAAGTTTTATTTATTTTAACAATTCTTCTTCTTCTCCCTGTGTTATATCCGAAGTTTTCATTGAAGGTAAAAATTCAGAAAATGTTATGTATTTTTTATATCTTTAATATCCAAACAAACTTGAAAGTGATTCTCCGTAATATCTCTGGAAGTAAATTTGGTAGAAAATTGTTTCAATTTTGTAAAATTTCACCAGGAATATTTATCGACATTTTAGTGGAAGCGTTTAGACAGAAAATGCAGAAACAATGTTAAAGATAATCCAGGGTTGACAGAATCCATCGATTGTGTCGAAACTAATGTCGACAATACATCAGTCGACCTTAATCAACTTTTCGACATTCTGTGATACAAAGTTAATATTTATTATAATTTAAAAAAAATATTTATCCCTGTGAAATCATCTTTGATTTGCAGCAATTTAGATTTAACAGAAAACCATTTTTATCATAAAAGCTGTGTACTGTGTAGATCAACAGTAAATTGGATTATATTTTAAAAATATTAAGTTTATCAAAAAGTTACGGTTTAAGCTAAGGGAATGGTCATAGATAGAATGTATGCAAATTTGCATTTTATATGTTTATATAATTTAAATTTGTGTCAGTATTTTAATCGTTCACTTGTTGAATTGGGATTAGTAGGCCGTAACCATGAAAATATGTAAAATCAATTGTTTTGGAACACTGCGTTCATATTTTTTATAGACATATTGTAATTTGTAAACCGTCTGTGATTCTGGCTGTGACATCTTGTTTATTCATGTTTATTCATTTCCCCGCGGGTGAGTTCCTTTAATTTGTTTATTTACAGAGAACATGTTGAAGCTAAGATGGGGGAAATTATTCGTCAGTTCATACAAGCAAACTCCTAGGCAATAAAGTGCATTCGACATACCTGGTCGAGTGGGAAATATAATTGTTATAAGATAGATCGTCATCTTCTTATTTTCTTTTATCCTCGATGATGTTGCAAATTTAACTGATCTTATTCTAAAAATGTGCTGTCTACACTCTACATGTTAGAAATGATTTTTATTCATTTATTTCCTTTTTATAAATTATTTTGACAATTGACTAATTTACCGTGTGTGGTGAATTTTCTTGATGTACTTGTTGGACTAGGCTTTATCATACTTCCTTCAGTACAGACGACAAGGTAAACATACATGAATTATTACATATTATGTATCTTTATATGCTTGACTAGTAATTTCTGTTTGTATGTCCGATCATAAGCAAAAAACCCCTTGAAAGATTTGCTTCAAAAATGAACAGGGAACTCGGTAAAACCACGGGAATTTTATTAGCTTGGTTTCAAAATTGTAAATTAATTTGATTGACTTTAAAGCATGGTATGCAGGTAAAGCTGGGTTCCTAAGCTAGTCTTTATATAGTCAAGTAGTAATATCAGTTTGTCTGTTTGTATGTCTGATCATAATTCAAATACACCTTGTTTGCCTCACATTTTGGCCTTCCAATCTAGTTCTTAAAGAAATTTAGCAGCAGATTTGATCAGTTAGGATTCTGTATTTGTCAGATTTTTTTGATGAAAATTATCAAGAAACTATTAGTGGTAGATTTTATGTTTAAATGGTAATTGCCTTTTTGTAACGGATGAACACTGATTGTTTTCCAGTCAGATTAATTCTAGATGAACCCCTGTCAACAAACTGTAAATCTGTTATTGAGATGTCAGATGTAAAATTCTGAATAAGTAAACAGTGTAAAAAAGTTAACTTAAAGGCTGAAAATCGCCTCTGTTTTTGTTCCAATAATATTTAGATACAACATTTTTTTTGAGATTTTCAAAATAACATAAAGACAATTTTGGTCAAAAATGCATTTCTGAATTTTAATCTGTTTTCAACCAATTCGCATCTGTACCAAAGCTGAGTCTTTTAATGTTTTTTGTCAACTACCCCACCAACATTTACAAGGATATAAACCTGTATGTTATAAATGCTATCCCCTCTAAAGCTGTGTGTGTTTTATATTATATCCCTTATAAAGCCCAGTGTGCCCTGGATTGTTTAATATTTCTCTATAGAACTTTAGAATATATAATTTGTAGAACCTGGGGCCGTTACAAGGGAATTTATTGTACTTAAATATACATAAATCCAGGCTCATAATTCCAACCTGATACACAGAGAATGGTTTTACTTCGCCCCTCCTCCTTTTTTCCGCTTATATCCCTTCTATACATGTTTCCATTCATAAATCCTATGTTTTCATCCTTTTCAATTAAACTATTTATCTATCCTTCTCTTTCATTTATCTATACTTCTTTTAAAGAATTAAAAAAGAAAAAAATCCTATTTATAATTTATTTTCTCAACCATATTTGGTATTTTTTTTCTTTCAATGTATTTTTATACCAATTTATTTAGTAGAAAAAAGTTTTAAAATATTTTATTTCTAGTTGAATATTTAACGTCTTATATTTCAGGATAAAGGCTACCATATGTTGGGATATGTTAATGCTGCCAGCTGTATCATAAATGGAAGACCAAACTTTAAATTCCCTCCACATTATAATATAGATCTGGACAGCTTCTTTACAGGTTAAAATTTTACAATAACTAGGCGGTTAGGGCGCTTCGCTCCCATCTTCTATTTTCAAGTTCTAATTGTGGCTTCATCTGTGAGCATCTTCTCTTTGTACAATATAAAACAATAAAAAAAGAGCGGACTTATTAATATTTTTTCTCGCATTTTCAAAATCCTTTTGGACACAATTTGTTTTTAATTTTAAGCATCCATAAACCTTCCCTGGGATCTTGCGAGTTCCACACAATATTTGGGCCGGATCGGTTCAGCCGTTTAGACGTCGATATTGGATACAAACAAAAGAACAATGTAACTAACAGACAGACAGACTAGCAAAGTATATATAATATATAGATGATGATGAAGCTTAGGTATGAAGGTACAAAGGTTGGAGGGTATGATGGTTATGAAGGTAGACATGATTCCGTTCTTATTTTTGACAATTCAAATACAGAATCTCAAAGACTCTGTACTAAGTAGATAATGAGTTTCTTTCATTGTAATCTTTTATTTCCTTGGCGTAATGATGATTGTTGGTTAAGATTTTCATGTACTGCTATCTTACAAGAATTTTTTTCTTTTCAATTTTGATTGCAAATTATAGATCCAAGATATTTCGGGGTAATTTAATGATATATATTAAAACCTTTTCAACACAGAACAATGTTTACCCAGGTCCCTGAAGTCTGGTTTCATGACTGGTTCCCTGGGAGGGGGTCAAATTGACCTCCACTCTATTTTCTTATTGTGATACAAATCTACAACATTTGATATGTTTTTGGAAAGCCCTTGGGCTCTACTCCAATGATCTGCCAAAAATAATTGTAAATTTGCTAAAATCCAAATATTTATTGCGAAATCTAGTTTTTAAACAATAATTACGCAATTAGCTAGAAATTTTATATTTTTGGAAAGCCCTTAACCGTGCGAATTAAAATCTGCAAAAACATTTTCTAAATTTTTAACACCTAAATGTGTATTCAAGAAAAACTGAAAATGTGCAAAATCCCTTAAAAGGCGTCTGTGCAAAAAATGTGTGCAAAGTTCCTTTGCAAAAACTGGCATCCTGGTTGCTTTTGTTAACGTTTTAAAATCCAATGAGTGAAAGTAGTTTTAATAGATATGAGAAGCATCGGAGAAAATATCAGAATTGAACACGTTTCGAGTCAGAACTACGACAAATTAAGGTTTCAAGTGTATTATTGTAAATCAGGCATTGTCATATTTGCATGGAGGGATCCCTTAACATTGCACTTATAGTCCCTTCACCAAGAGAATGCGTGAAAGTACAATTATAAAATTCCAAAACACAGGAAAACAATATTTCTCTCTTCAAAACTTTTTCTTAAAAGTTTAATAGGTCTCGGCTTTCAATGAACCGTGTTGAATTTCAAAGTCTCCTTGATGAAAAACCATGTAAATATTTAAACTTTATTATTAACTTTACATGAAAATTAAGTTCCTCAAGTATTTACGGATTCTTTACAATGGTTTAGTTTTACCCGTCACTATATAAGACCTATTTAAAATATAAAAAAATGGAGAAAAAATTATTGTAAATTTTTTTCTCAAATAAGATTTGTTTTAAAAGTTGCTTAACGAAACTTAGTTGTACTACCTCTTAATGACAATTAGTCAAATGCTCCTTTATTTATCCACTAATGGGTAAAGATCAGTAATATTAACCTTCAAACAAGCTGGAATAAATAACTTGTAATGAATTATTTAAAATATAAATAATGGACATTTAAAGTTTATTCAATCAATTATCTAACGTTAATAGTTGAATTTGATTATTAATTAATAGTTTGGCATAATGATTGATTGATTTATTGGTTGATAGTTGGGCCGGCATATGATTATTATTGGTTGAAAGTTTGGTTATATGATAGTTTGTGTAAATGTTTTATTTTTTAAACTAGGTGCCCGGAAGGCGGTTGAATCGATTAGTACGAGTTTAAGCCGAAGAAATATATCTGAATTAAGCTCCTTGGTTAGTTCCCCCTGCCTAGACAATATCAGGGAACCTTTGACAAGAATCATATCCTTTTAATTTGGAAAACTTTACATCTACACAGGTGTGTGTACTTGATTGAAAAATCATTCCCCTTCCTCCCCGGCCCCTCCCTCTTTGAAAATCATTTTCTCCCAGAAGTTGGTATATCTGCGTATTGATGGGATGTCTTGGGTTTCTATACTGAATTGGGCAAAATAAATTATGTTTAAGGGAAAATAGATATTTTTTTGGGAAAAGGTATCAAAATAAATAGTTTATATCGGTACCCTTAAAACTATCTTGCATTAAAATTACATTTGAGAAATGCTCAAGATTTATTATTTTGGAGTTCAACGCCGTCGTTCACATGACAGTGTTTTCGGAAGGAAAGGGTTACTTTACATTTGGTTGTTTGTTTATTTTATCATTAGTATGCTTAACCACTTCTAAAATTTAACATGAACAATTAACATTGGTCAAGGTGAACGAGTCTGGTATCTAAGTTTTTGAAAAAAATTTTAAACCACCAGAAACGTAGTTTTTGTTTTGTTTACTTCTTTGATTACATTTTCTATCATGTCATGAACAGATTTTTTTCTTTAATTTATTTAGAAGTTTTTTGAAAAAAAATTGTTTTGCTTTTTTATTAAAGAGAAGACTAAAAGTTTAAATTTAACTTATAAATCGGATAAAAATAATCTTTTTTTCGCAGTAGATTTATAAAAAAAATAATTACTTACGTCAAATCGTCATAAGGATAAGAATAAGATCCTATATTTAGCATTTGAATAAACGGGAAAAAATCCAAATTTAGAATTATATCCCCCTACCCCTACCCTTGGGGAGAAATCTCTGTTTTTTTCTCAATAAAATGTCTTGATTTGATAATTTGTCTAAGGCAGCGTATATTCGAGGAGATGACAGTGGACCAGATTAAACAAATACAAATTAATGCTGAGGATATATTTCTTCAATATATAGAATCTGCTCAAATACAAGACGACCATGTTAGGTAATATTTTTATATTTAAATATGGGAAAGGGACTGATAGCGTAATTTTAAGTGATTATTCATCCAAAGATGACAATGCCCGATTTACAATGGTACCCTTGAAACCTGAATCTAATCAGTAATGTGGAAGATAACGTCGTTTTTCTGACAAAAAGTGTCAAATTCTGATAATTTCTCCAGTCTTTCTTATATGCAAGAAATGCGCAAGTCACTTCTGCAGAGAATCCACAAATGATAAGGAAGAATGTTCTAAAACAAAATATGGAGTTCTTATTCATACATGATACAAAGCTTTTAATGGTACCGTTGTAAGTCCGGTATTGCCATCTTTTCATCAAGGGTCGCTTATTATTACGCTTATATTCCCTTTAAAGTATGTATAGTAAACGAATATTGGGAACATTGTTAATCATCTATCACTCTTGCCGAAGAAAAACTAAAATTTTGAAGTATAGAATCAAGATTAAGCAAGAAAAGCAATTTCAATTTTTTGTACAACGAAAATTACTATATTCTTCAAGAAAACTTTTTAACACTTGTTTTAAAACTTGTTATGTAGCCTAGAGGTTTTATTTCTATTAGAATAGAGTTTCAGGGTCTTGGAAGAAAACCCGTAATTATACATCTCGATTTTAACTCAGACGACTTTACTCTAGTTTCTCGTCTTCTGTAGTTTTTTAAAATAAACTGATTGTCTACGTTTTTTTATTTAGATTTACAACATTACTCTCTGAGAAACGATGTTGTATTTTTGTCAACCATTGCAAATTAGAGTATCGCATCATAGGTGTGCAATTTAATAGTTTTCTGTTACTCACTGTATTATTGCTTGGAATTTGATCCTTGTTGTTGAAACATTGGAGCATTTTCTCAGTTCAGATGTTCTATCAGAGAAACAGTGATGCTAAGAGAAAGTGTTCAATTTTATTATCCTAGATTTTAAAACTCTTAACTCTTATTTCTCATGGTAAGCGGTAACGTTACATGATATTGCCGGTCGCTCGGTGTGGCGGGGGGAGGAGGGGGGGGGTGATATCTCGCACTTATTTGATACTACTATTGTGTTAAAAAAATTGCACTAACTTTCCTGCTTTTCCTAATAGTATGCTTTTTTAACTATAAATAAAAGAATAAATAAAAGAAAAAACAAAAGAATAAGAAAAAGAATATATAAAAGAGAGAATAATTAAGCAATGAATAAAGCAATGAATAAATCAATGAATGAAATAATGAAAAAAGAAAATTAATGAAATAATTAATGAAATAATTAATGAAAAAATTAATGAAAAAATTAATGAAATAATTATTAATGAAATAATTAATGAAATAATTAATGAAATAATTAATGAAATAATTAATGAAATAATTAATGAAATAATTAATGAAATAATTAATGGAAAAAGGATGAAAGAATGAATTAAAGAATTAATTAAATGAAGGATGAAGGGTTTAGTGAATGGTTTAGTGAATGGTTTAGTGAATGGTTTAGTGAAGGGTTTAGTGGATGGTTTAGTGAATGAATGTTTAAAAGTATGTTTAAAGGATACATGATACATATCTCATGTTTAGGAATAGTGAAAGAATGTAAGTATATATAAAGGATGAATGAGGGTATAAAAGTGGGTATAAAAGTATATTTAAAGAATTGATGAAAGCATAAAAGTATATATAAAGATGAATGAAAGTATAAAAGTATCTGAATGAAGAATGAAAATATAAAAGTATATATAAAGATGAATGAAAGTATAAAAGTATCTGAATGAAGAATGAAAATATAAAAATATATATAAAGATGAATGATATAAAAGTATCTGAATGAAGAATGAAAATATAAAAGTATATATAAAGATGAATGAAAGTATAAAAGTATCTGAATGAAGAATGAAAATATAAAAATATATATAAAGATGAATGAAAGTATAAAAGTAACTGAATGAAGAATGAAAATATAAAAGTATGTATAAACTAAAGGATGAAAGAAAGTATAAAAGTAAGTATAAAAGTATGTATAAAAGTATGTATGAAGGATAAATGAAAGTATAAAAATCTGTATGAATGATATATATCTATTGTTCAGGATTGTTTTAATCTCCTTCTCTCTACCTCTACTGAACCAGTGCAAAATAAATCACTTAAACATGAAAAAGTTCCAAACAAATATTCACAACAAAGCAAAAAAATCAGATGGTAAGTATTCTATCATATATGATAAAAGAAGTTTTTTTTGCGGTCTATTCTATTATGTATTCACAAAAGAATTTTTTTTCGGTCTATTTATTTTGTCAGATCTGACCCAAATTCGGCAAATTTTCTTCTCTCTTTTAAAAATTATTTATGAGAACCGCAAAATTATAAATCATACTTTTATTCTTTATCAGAAAATTATTTTCTGATCCTGATAGATAGTGGACCCGTTCTCTGGGATAATATAAATAAAATCACGAAACCTCTTGCTAGATAAACTAGGGATAGATTTTCCGAGGATTTCTTAGCTTTTTAATCGAAGACATTTCCTTTCAACCAACAAATTTGTTGGTTCCATCTTTTTTTTTCTTTTTAAAATAAAATAAAATATTTTTACAAATGCATGTTTAACGTTATTTTAACTTTTAAGTTAGACTACGGTACACTTTTAACCTTTAGCTGAGCGGCAAAAATTGTTTTAATACATTTTCTTTATGGCAAATGCCTGTCCGTACTTTCGAATTTTCAGAGAGAAAATTAAGGATTTCCTTTCGTTCAGTTAGACAAAGGGGCTAAGGGTTACCGTAATTATTTGGACATGTAACTTTTGATATGGAGGATCAGTTTAAGTCATGTCCCTAACTAGACCTGGACAAAAGATCCTTCTAAGGGACGACCGTACAGGTTCTTTTTTGTTTTAAATTTCCCCCGAAATAATTAATATTATTAATTGACTTCTAGGCCGTCATTTTTCATCCTTTGGGGTTTAATTGAATTAGTAAAAATTCTTTTATTCTGAATGACGTCACATACTTATTTTCAAGATTTTTATTAATATTTTAGATGCTATTTGTGTTTTATCCTAATATTTTTATCATTTTCCGGAGATAAGTTTGATAATTCATTTAAACCTTTGTCTAAGCCAAATTGACAAAGATATTTTTATTCTTAATATTTGAAAAAATAATTTTCTTCGATGGTATTTCTATTAACATTACTCTTGGATTTATGCAGCAGAGTTGAAAAAAGAAATTGTCAAAATTTAACACTTTTCCAGCTAGATAAAGTTTTAAGCAGTACCTTTGTGATTTGGACATGTCACTTTAGGATCATTTGAATTTACGCCAACAGTCTCTATAAGTGTATTGAATACTATGGAGTTCTCCGTGTGTAAATGAGAATGATGGATCAAGTTCTTGATTCTAAAACTAGTTCCTGGAAATGGTTGGTTTAATCAATTCTGGTTTCTCTAAGTTTAAGACTGTTAAATTTCTATCTTGAAAAATTATTTTTGCGTTGACCATCTTGTAAACATAGGTTTTTCTTAAATTTTTAGGTGTTTCTAGGGTTTTATTGGCTTAAAAGGGGAAATTAAAGATTTTTAGGGATAAAACGAGTTAATTTTTTGTTAATATCAAATTTTAACTTTTTAACTCCTTGCCAGAGTTTTTGAATTCCCCCCCCCTCCCCTTGAAAATGAACGCCCCTGAATATTTGGTTTACCCAGTTTACAGTAATTATGCCTAGTTTCTCATCTAACTGTTCTTAAACTTCAGAACTTGGAGTTTCAAGTTATTTAATACCACTTACTTCATACTTTATACAACTGTACTCTTTAAACCTTCTTCTGCAATCTACAATTTTTTTATTTTTTCCCGTATTTTTAAAAAAGTGATGGAACTACACCAACCGGCTTTTAAAGCACAGCATATTAGATTTCTCGCTTAATTTTGAGATCTATACTTTAAATAAAGAAATTTAGTAATAATGGTGTTTTTTCTTCTAAAAGAGACTGCAAGTGTAAAAGATGCAAAGCCTGTGTCCGAATTTAATGAATTTGAGCCGCGTCAAAAATCCGCCAAAAACCGGTTTCAATTGAGCGCCGACTTAAATCTTGAAATAATGAATACGATTTTAAATGGACCCAACCATATTTGAGCCGCGACTTAAATTTAAGCCGCGGCTCAAATTCTTTAAATTCGGCCTCTGATTTACATCAATTCTTAAAATTTTGGCTGATCATTATCAAGTATGCAATAGATGACCAATATTTAATAATAAAAAAACGATCGATTATTTTCAATTGTGGAATCTCACAAAAGTGACTTCTTCTGCAGGAAAACATATTTAAACACTTCTGAACATAAAAAAACGTTTATATATATTACACATTATTGATCAGATAACGGTGTTAAGAGTACCCTTGTGAATCGGGCATTGTCATCTTTGCAAGAAGGGTTACTTAAAATTACGCTTACACTTCAAGATTCCAACCTAACTGCATCAAGTTCCTTCTATTCCTTCACATTGTGCTGTATCAAATTAGAAAGCAATATCAAGAGACCTTCCTATTCTAGACTCCATTCTAGTAAAGATTTCTCTTCATTAAGCGTCGAAAAGTATTTCCTTTTTTTTTAAAGAAATTGAATAAAAGATTTCAAAACATTTCTTTCAACTGATTTTTGGATTTATATGTTTAGGTATACTGAAACGGGAAGATTTAAACGCTAAAGAATTACGAGAATTAGTGGATTCATTAGAAAACTTAAATATGGATAAACTAGCCAAAGGAAATAAACTAACGGATTTTTATGATTCACTAACTTTATTTTAGATAAATCCATAAACTTTATAACAATTTTGTTATTTAAAACTTGTCTCTGGAACATTTTCATGTCTTTGTAGTAATCTTGTGACTATTTGTACTATGAAAATTGAATTATTTTTTTTTAAATTTTCTTTTTAATCTCTGAAGATCCTTCTTTCTAAAGAATTTAACTAAGAATAGCAATTGAGTTTTATAATTATTTTTTAGCCCAAAGAAAATATAATTAGGTCGGGGGGGGGGGGGGGGGGGGGGGGGGGGGGGGGTAGGGGTAAGGATAAGGATGTGTTAACATTTTACAGTGAAATCTTCAGAAGTGGTTTATTGAAAAAACACATTAAAACCCAAATGTTAAAAGCTTTCACGCTAATATCGAAAAGAATTTACCTATTACTTCTCTTAAACCAAAATTAAACAAATCTACAAACAAGTGCTTTGTACATCTGTAATTTACATGTCTAGAGCTATAAAAAAGTAAAAGCGTGTTGCTGAGGCGTTGTGACTTTATATCCTCTTTAGCCTGGATAAATGTGAACAAAGCTATGTATACCTGTTTATTAAATATGGTTTGTTATTCTCACTGATATCTCCAAATTAGTTTGTTTGTAGAGGGAAGTATTCTAGTATCCAGTTATACCTTTGAACGTCCAGAGAACTCTGATGTTTGGTCCGTTGTTTCCATATCACATAAAGGTCAGTCTTAGTTACATAAAGTATTTGGCAGCCATGTCGAACTAACGTAAATTACATGTAAAATAAAAATATCTGTTGCAGATTATTTAGATTTTTTAATGTAACGGAATAATTTTGTTTTCCTCATATGTGTGCCTAAATACTAGAGGAGTTACGAGGCCCCAAACTCGTAACAGTAATGTTTCATGAGTTTTGCCTTCTCCAACTGTCTAGTTTACAGTCCAGCCTTTTTGATCCTATTTTTAAAGAGAAAGGTCAGTCTGCGCTATATATAGTTTTTGGCATCATATTTAATCCTATTTTTAAACATAACGTTTAGTCTTAGCTATATAAAGTTTTTGGCTTCATATTTAATCCTATTTTTAAACATAACGTTTAGTCTTAGCTATATAAAGTTTTTGGCCTCATATTTGATCCTATTTTTTTAACATAAAGGTCAGTCCGAGCTATATATAAAGGATTTGGCAATATATTTTGTCTTATTTTTAAACATACAGTTTAGTCTTAGCTATATATAGTTTTTGGCGTTATATTTTATCCTATTTTTAAACATAAAGGTCATTTTAGCTATGTTTATTGGTATTTGATTTATGTTGGATCCTATTTTTAAACATGGAGGTCATCTTAGCTATGTATTTTGGTATTTGCATTATGTTGGATCCTATTTTTAAACATGGAGGTCATCTTTGCTATGTATATTGGTATTTGCATTATGTTGGATCTTATTTTTAAACATAAAGGTCATCTTATTTATGCATATTGGTATTTGCATTATGTTGGATCAAATTTTTTAACATGGAGGTCAGTCTTAGCTACATGTATGTAGGTTTTGACACTTCTAATTTTACTTTCATTCAAAACATAGGGTTTTTTGTCTGGTTGGAATTAATTTCAGCATGTTTTAAATGAAATAAAAGTTAAAACTCAGTTAAATAAAACCAACTCACTCATGAACATTTTACATTTAACCGCTGAAATATGGCCGAGAGGACAGCTATTCAGTCATGTCAACTTTAATTTTTGCCCGTTAAAAACGACTTTTTAAAATTATTTATTTTTCGCCATTAAATCTATTAATTTCTCTCTTAATACTATGACGGCCACAAGAATTATTAGTGAACTTTGGGTAAATTTTTATATAGATGAAGTGAACGATCCCTTTAAATAAGATTATATCCTTGTACCTGGAACCAACTGAAAAGATAAATCCTATATTCGCTTCTAGAAAGTCAAAGAATTCCACTAAATTCCTTCTTCATCTCATTTCCGGAATCTGCGCCCTTTGATCGGGTTTTCGTGTCTTCCAGGCTTCCAACCTAGTGTACAGTTAACCTCAACATTCATTAAACTTTTTTACCAATATTTTGTATTTTTCATGATCTGAGAGTTACTTTTGAAAACATTTATTTCTGTTTCGAGGATTTTTGATAATGAAGATGACATTTTCATATTTTCCAGGAATGTTCGAAAATCCAGCGCCAGCGAAAATTATTTAAAATAAAACAAAATCAAAAATATTATGAAATATTAACCATGGGTCGAAAAATAATCGATGACTACTGTTTGTAATATCTGAATGATTTGTTTACGATCCGAGTTGAATGTTGCATCTTTCTGAATTTGTATGGACACTACGTTCTTCGGTATTAGTCGTTTTTAACAATTTTCTCCCTATAGACGCAACAGATAGAAGTAAGATTAGTAGCGATCAAAAGCGATTTTTTATCGCATCTATACCCCCTTTCATTTTTCACGAACACTCCCTTTAAGTAAAGGATCTCAATTAGATTGTACCTTTCCATATCTTTATTTGAGATATCCCTTCAACCCCTGACTGGGTAGTGGGTACTAATGCGGGATAACTTCAAGAGTAAATTTATCTAAAAATTTACAAATAGTTTGAGATCAAGCATTGATCTTGATAAGTTTCCAAATGATTACTTTCCTCAAGCTTTAATTTTCCAATTCTTATATCTTTGTTACCAGATGCCATACACCTTAGATATATTTTACTTCTTCGGCAAGATTAAATTATCAAAATTTGAAAAAATGAAAGTTTTATTCTTATAGGTTTGGAAAGAAATAGGGATAGGGATATTAGAGTTTGTTGCAAGGAAACAGTTCTGCAAATTAGATTTTTTTAACAAAAATTCTGATTATAAGTTTTAGTTTCAACCGATCTATTGTTTGTTGTTATTTTAGTTTTTTTTTGTAGATTCTGCAGAAATGTGGAGTCGTCTACGCAGAATGATTTGGAAAGGTAAAATTTATTTTTTATTATTAAAATATCTCAAGTATCTATTTTTCCAAATGTTCAATTTTGTGCAGAAGAATTCACATTTTCTTGTTTGGGGTCTGTCCTAGTGAACGATTTTTGGACCCCCCCCAGGCCCCCCCTCCTATCAATTTTGTACATGACCAAATTAGTATTTATTTAGCATTATTTAGGGTTAGGTTAGGTTATTTAGGGTTAGGTTAGGTTAAGACACTTTCTTGGCCGAGCGCTGTGGCTAGGATGGACTAGGGGGCCGAGCGCTGCGGCCACGGGTTAGGCTAGTTAAGACACTTTCTGTGCCGAGCGCTGCGGCTAGGATGGGCTAGGGGGCCGAGTGCTGCGGCCACGGGTTAGGTTAAGTTGAGACAGGGGCCTGGGGGGGGGGGGGTGCACAAATCGTTCTCTGGGAATATACCCTTGTTTGCCAGCTTTTAAAATGCAATTGGACTCACTTAAATGAATTCAGATGTAGTATAATACAGACAGCTAAATAATTGGTAAATTTTGCTTGTGAAAACTCGCTTACGAGTCAAACCATCCATTTTAATATTTGCTTGCCAGTTCAATAGCTTACTAATAATTTCTGTCTCACTTTATTTAAAAAGAAACTGATTTTTATTCTCAAAGTGGCATGTTCGATTCACAACTATATCCATCAAGGTTAAAGGTACCGTTCAAGGCTTGAATTTGATAAAAAATGAGTTAGATATCGTCATTTTCTATCTTGTCTGACAAGTTATTTCCAGTGGCATAATCCGTTAGCTACTCACTTCAACAGAGAAACTACAACTGTAAACAATCAATTTTCAGTTAGAAAATTAAGGATTTCTAATTTACTCTAGATCGGATGAGGGATCGTTGTGAATTGGTCCAAAGTTACTTGAACTAACGTTAACAGTCCCTTTTAAACTTTGCCAAATTCTACTAAAACCTAACTCCGTGAAAAGCAATTTTAAAATTGACAAACTTGTTGTAAACTTTCACTTTTCTCATTTTATGCTTTAATATTTATATCTCCGTATTCCTAATAGTAGTATATTTGTATTCCAAGGCGGGGAACTTTTCTATCTACGAAAGATTATAAATTTTAATCAGAGCATTTGATTCGTCACATATCTCTAAAAGACATGATTATTTGCTTAAAGAGAATGTAGATTGTGGAAGTAATTTCAAGTGAACCTCCATATATAGCGGTGTGCGGTGCATGCTCTGAACTCAACAGAACCCGATAAAACCTAAATTCGATTAAAAATCCTTATCTTGAAAAGTGTTGTATTCTGATAAAATTGTCTTCTTTGCTTCTGCTGCAAAATTCCGTAAGCCACTTTTATATAGAAACCACAATCGAAAATACGAGATTTTAAGTTAAAAAAAAAAGAATTTCTCGTTCAACCACAACAAATAAAAGGTCTTTGTGAATCGTTCGTACTATACTATACTCTAATACGTCCAAAGATGAAATTACTTTATTGAAGAATATATTTCCCTGTTTGTGTTCCGTCTCTCTGTTTGTTTATAAACTTTGAGAAAATTGGATCAGAACTCGGTCTAATCAAATCTAGACTGAAAATCCTTTTTCTAATTTGTCTCAATTTCTTATTTCATTTTATATTAGGTTTCTTCTTATTCTTGAGCGGCTGGGGAATTACATTTTTTTATTTTGACATGCAATAGTAGATTTTTTTTGTAAATCCTCTTCCCCCCTCCCTATTTAAAATCATTTTGTACACGAGAAGTAAAGTATGATTGGGGAAAACAAATTATTTTCATGCTAAAGTATTTTAAAAAATTGGTACAAAATATCTCCAGGGTGTCCAATTTTTCATTTTTCCCTCCAGATCATCAATTTTCAACACCCCCCCCCCCCCTCCTATTATAAATTTGGATGAAATTCCTATTTGTGATCATTTGGGAAATACTTTGGAAACTTCCGAAAACTTAATGACATCTTTATTCATATGTTTTATTGTTTTCAGGTCGTGTACACATCTCTGTAAAGTTTGACCGGGATTTCTACGATATCATCCGGTTTGATTACGCCATTGATCTGTTAGCAGTTCTGGCTCTGGTCTATCTACAGCTCCTTGCACTGGTTCTAGGTTACAAGATGGAGAAGGAGATCGAAAGAAGGAATAGGATGGAGGCAGACCAGATCATGAAGGACAACAAAGAGGAGGATCTTAACTAAATGGTTTATGTGAAATAAACTAGATGAAAAAATGCTCGAACGACTTTTTCTCAGATTTTTCTCAGAATTACACTTTTTAATTTTAAAGGAATATTTCCAAAAATTTCGAAATTTATTCTGCTTCGACTCAAATGTGAAAACGTAGGGATGTTATAAAAACACCATTTTAGAATTTTTCATCTTTGAAGATTCTTTGGGATCTTATCGTCGCCTGCTTATACTTTTGGTAGAAATGTCAACATAGAAAATGCTGAAGTATCAACCCAATTGAGAGCGGTGCATCGAGTTCAAAACCCCGATTCACTGATCAAACCGGTTGGAACTGGCTTTAGATACTTGATCCTGAGATAATCCCAGGTTTAACTGGAATTAAGATCAAAACTGAATTGGGCTTTTAGACTCGCAGCTCAGCTGTCATTGGTGAGAAGAAAATTGTTTCAATCTTACAAAACCAAGGGAGGTAGAGTATTCATTTTAGAGAAAACACAGGATTTATTTTAATTCCATTTATTTTCATTTTTACACACGACACAGCCTTGCAACAGAGAATTATTTTACACTTAGATGTATTTCCAGTAAAACCCTAACCCAACTTAATTCCCAAATCCTATGATACCTACTTTATTCCCGCAACTAACAGACATTTTTAAAAGTGCATTGTTAATTAGTTTATTAAACTAAATCAAATTATATAATGTTAACAGGAATAATAGTGTTTATTTTCAGATAAAAATGGAAGAAAAGTGAAGTTTGATTTGTAGAATTGTATTTAGCCCCGTTAACTAGGAAGTAGAAAAATAGATAAATAGCAACATGTTCAAGTGTATACCACTCTTTAAAGGAACACACAACAATTAATTGTTAATTTTTCTTATAATAGATACAAAAGATTTAATGCTATAATGTCTAATCAAGTTCCATAAATTTGGCATTTCTAACTTCTAAAACAGAAATTTCTCGAACAAGTCTTTTGCATTGGTACATTGTGAAAACTTTCTGAAAATAGAAACTAGTGCTGCTTAAGGTTAAGTATACATATTTAATGTTTTTAATGTTTTTAAGCCTTGTGATATTTCAACACCAAGAAAAATTTTCTTCGTTTTTATTTTCTTTAGTTTATTATTTATAACTTTGCACTTGCTAGATTGATGAAAACATGAAAGCTTGATTATTTTGAAAAAAGTAGTTCGGAGAAGGATGGGGTGCGGGGGGGGTCTTTTAAACATTAAGTTTTTTGTGAAGTTTTTAAATTCAATCAATTTCTTTTCTCACACTAGATTTGCCTTTAGATTACGAGAAAAGTATAAATCTTGATAATTCCCCCCTTAACCTACACCAATACTACAGTCATCTGACAGAAACCTATAATCAAACCTCCAGAAATTAGTTCCGTTGCAAAGATTCAACTTTTATCCTCCCGGGCCCCCACACACAAATTGGATTTATTAACCCAACCTTCATTTCTTAACTTGATCCAAATGAGTTTCTGAACCTAACTGCAAGAGTTAGTTTATATTCTTGTAAAAATCCAATGACATAATTTCAACCTTTGTTAAAAAGCTGGATCAATTTCACGAAGGCAGATCAATTCTTGTGACGTTGTCTAGCCGATTTTTAGGCTAAACTTATTTAGGAAAAAACTTAAACATTTCTGTTTTGTTTTCCTAAAATAAATCAGATTACCACAAGATTATTTAAGAAATAAGAAGTAATTTGAATTTCTGATTTCTTATTTATCAATTAATATAACAACCTCTCAGAACTGTCTAACTTTCTTAAACTAAGCTGGAATAGTTAAATGAAGAACTAAAATGTTTTTAATATCCTTCTCTAGTAAGTAACCAGTGGCCGAATTTAAAGAATTTGAGCGGCGGTTTAAATTTAAGCCGCGGTTTAAATATGGTTGGTTCCACTTAAAATTGTATTAAATGTTTCAAGATTTAAGCCGGTCCTTAATTCAAACCGGGTTTTGGCGGATTTAAACCGTGGCTCAAATTCTTTAAATTCCATCTCAGTTAAATTTGCGTTTCACGTATTACGTTGAATCAAAACCAGAGGAGATCCAAGGTCATAAATTCGTACCAGTAATGTCGCACAAATTTCACCTTTTTCTTTCGTTAAGTGGAACGTGCATTATTTAGTAGTCATTTTGAAATTGAAATGCCTCAAAGTCTAATTTGATGTGAATCGACGAGAAACTAGCAACATTAGTAATTTCTAATAAACTTATTGTTGTGTGCGTGCAGTTGGGTGCAACCGTCAGGTTGAATATGTGGATAAGCGCCACTGCTCGCTTAACAATGTTCCTGAGGATATTATGCGCTACGCGCGAAGTCTCGAAGAACTTCTTCTTGATGCAAACCATCTCAGGGATTCAAACCAGCTCCAACTAAATTCTAAATATTTAAAAGTTACCAATGATTCTTTTAAAGAATTAATACCAAAAAACGTCGTTCTCACTAAAGGAGAAGGATAAGCTGTTTATCTTGGAAAAAAAAATCCTTAAATATTCATTCCTCTGTTAAAAACTCTTTTATAAATGCTCGTGCAGGTCCATGTTAAAACTTTCTCTTAATGTCATTTACCCTCAGAAAAATTAGAATTAATGAGTGATTCATATTCGCAAATAATTAAGGAAATGTAACAAACATTTAGCATCAATCAAATTTAGTTTTTCCATGATTAATCCCTTTAAATCCTGGTTTGAATCTATTCTGCGGTTAGGGATCTCCCGAATAATTTTTTTCGGTTAAATCGACTCCGCAAACTCGGGCTCAGCGATAACGAAATCCAACGAATTTCCCCAGAAATTCAAAACTTTGAGTCTTTAGTTGAATTGGATGTGTCACGCAACGATATCACGGATATACCTGAAAATATTAAAGGTGCGTATTTTTGTTGTTTAGAAGAAATTTAATCAACAGATTTTATTTTTAATTAATTTAATTAATATGTCAAGTGGCAGAATTTCTCTCCAAATTGGTAGATTTCCAACCAAATTTCGTAGATTTCTTCCTTTAAATCGGCATATTTTTACCAATTTATTGGCAGATTTTCCACAATTTGGTCAAATTTCGATTTGATACATCGGAATTCTAGACGCAAATTTGTTTTAGGATTAAAATCGCTTCAAGTCGCTGATTTTTCCTCTAATCCCATATCAGAACTACCTGCTGGGTTTGTACTTCTCAAGGTAAAGCATGTTATAGGCCAGTAACATATTGTGTATTTTTTATGCTTGTTTTTATTTTAAACCAGTTTCATTCATTCTCCCCAAATTTAGAATTTAAGGGATGGTAGATTGGATACACTATTAGCATATTTGTTTAACATCCTGCACTAAAGATGGCCGAAGAAAGGCTTTATAAAAATGCCTTTTAACCATTTAAAGATATGGTTTCTTTTTGAATCTTAGTTTCAAGTCTTCCCGTAAAAGCCGGTGTTTCTTCAATCCTATTTTGATTAATTGTTTGCATGAAAACTAAGATATTACAAGTATGATTTTAGTTATTTATAACGACATTACAGAGATGTAATGTAAATTTCACTTCACCTAGGATTTTCAAGACCAATTTAAACAAGGGAACTCCTAATTTTTTTTTAATTCTTCGAAAAGTCTCTCTTTCAAACTTTTTATTGAAACAATAAAGGTACAGATCTTCAGATTCTTCGAAAAGTAGTTCGTTCGAAGAGCGGATGGTTATTTTACTTGATTATCCCAAGGGACGTTAAGTAGATAAACCTTCCTCTGTTGAAGGAATCAGGTCTGTATTGTTGGTAAAAAGGCGGTTAAAACATTTTGTGTATCGCCAAAGAGAGAATTTGTAGAGAGGGCGGTGCCACTTTTTTCCTAGTAACAGGAGTTTTATTTTGTAAATTTAAAATTTGGTTCCGGTTGACAATGCCCAGTACTAGCCCATCCTGCCTGCATTATTCAAATTTATCTCTTAGAAGAAAAATTTTCAATCTAAATTTAAAATTTCATTCTTCGCCGGAATATTTTATCTTTTCTTGTTAAGAATAATTTAAGAAGCTTCTAGCGGTTTCACGGGAACAGGATTAATATTAATATTATAATCTTAAATTCTCTAAAATTCTCTTATTAAGTAAAATAATATTAAGCGTAAGAAGATATCATCTTTTTTCTTTTCCAAACCCTCAAGTACATCTATAATGTATATAGATTTAGCATGTATGTCCAATAATTGTAAAAACGGCTGAGCCGATCAGGCCCACGTTTTTTGTGGCAACTCACATGACCCAGGGAAAAGTTTATGAATAACAAAAAAAAATCTTATCATAAATGTCAAAAATGCATCAAATTGAACACGTAAGTCAGTATGAAAATTACTTCAAAGGCAACATTAAAAACTAGAATTATTCAATATATTTTTAAGTATTTCTCACATTGATTTGGTGAAGTGCGGTGGTATGAAAACTTGGAAACCCTTGTCCAAACTTGTAACTATACAGAGTTCTATCCAATACTAAGTTAGATATTTGTAATTTAACTCTACTTTAACCAATTCCTTTTAGAACCTAGTATTCAATATGGGGTTGGTTTAACTATATTCACTAAACTCTACAGTCAATAGTATATAGTGGGAATTTATGCCCCTTTGCTATCCAGACAAATAGATTTTAGAAAAAAAAATTTAACTTATATTCCGCTCTTCGATTATTTGACTTTTTAATATTCGACTATTCGATTAATCGTGCTGGATTATTCAAATATTTGACTGTTCCCTTTTCGACTATTTACCCGTTTATTCGTAATTTAAAAATTCGATTATTCGACTAAACGATTTTTTAAATATTATACTGTCCAGTTATTCGACTATATTATTATTCCTTAATTCGTTTATTCGAAGTTGTAAATATTAGAAAATTCGACTATTCGAATATTTGTATATTGAATATTCCAATATTTTACTTTTCATCGACTCATCGACTAATCAACTCATCGACTCATCAACTCATCGACTAATCAACTCATCGACTCATCGACTAATCAACTCATCGACTAATCAACTCATCAACTAATCAACTCATCGACTAATCAAATAATCAACTCATCGACTCATCGACTAATCATCTCATCGACTCATCAACTAATCAACTCATCGACTAATCAACTCATCGACTCATCAACTAATCAACTCATCGACTAATCAACTCATCGACTCATCGACTAATCAACTCATCGACTAATCAACTCATCGACTCATCAACTAATCAACTCATCGACTAATCAACTCATCGACTCATCAACTAATCAACTCATCAACTCATCGACTCATCAGCTAATCAAATCATCGACTAATCAACTCATCGACTTATCAACTCATCGACTCATCGACTAATCAACTCATCGACTAGTCAACTTATTAACTAGTCAAATCATCGACTAGTCGACTATTCAACTAGTCGACCATTAGACTATTCAACAATTCGACTACGACAGTTGACTAGTCTACTAGCAACTAGTCAAAAAGACAACTTCTTGTGACCACGTGACTATGTGACTATGTGACTATTTGACTAAGTGACTATGTGACTATTGGGGATATCTTAAATTAATTAGCCTTTCTTACAGTTCCAGCTATTTTTAAGTACTTTAATACGTGAGTATCTGAGTACTGATTATTCAATTTTTGGATAAAATAGTTCGATTATTTGAAGATTTGATTTTTGATTAATGAGATTACTAAAAATATGAATGGTCTACATCGATTTTGTCGCGAAAAGAAATAATGAGAATTGATTTGATTTTTTTTAGCAATTTGAATTAATTCAACTTATCGATTGTTCTACTTTTTGACCATTTGAATATATACGCAAATTATTTAGGCATTGTCTGTGTTGAGTTTAAATGATATGTCCCTGTCCGTCCTACCCGAGGACTTCGGTCTGCTCTGCAACCTCACCTCACTTGAGCTCAGGGAGAACCTTATCAAGGTAAACAGAATAATATAGAAAAAGGATGTCTCCCACCCCGGCCCCCTCTTCCTCCAAAAATTAGGTAAAATGTTGGTAAAAAGTTTAAAAAATGATTAATTAACTTTCCTTTTGATGTCTAATCTTTCATTTTCCTCCTCAAGTTGTCAAATACCATGTAATTCGTAAAATCATTCTACAATACATACACCCATGTAGATTCAGGTACCTCAACACGACATGTGATAGCTACAGTCACACAGTAGGACCCAATTGTGCAGTTTACACAGACCAATTTCAGTTGATTTTCAAGCTACTTTGGAAACAGCAAACAATTATAAGATTGCTAATATGTCGTCTTCCTATTCCATCGTTTATAAGTCACACTGTAGTTTTCGATTATCATAGAATTACGTACAGAGGTCGGCGTTTATATCAAAACAATGAAGACGACGTTTCTATGTAAGTTTTGATTTCTAAGAAGCTTTTTTCAAATTAAAAGTTACAAGAAAACAAAGAGAAGCTAACTGCTTCTTTTTGTTTTACATGTTGATTTGTATCAATGCTGTTTAAAACTTGGAAGAAATCAAAATTAAAATAAAAGGTCGTCTTCATTGTATTGATATATACGACAACGACTGTAAGTCATTGATAGGTTTCAAATAAAATTGTTATTATTTTCTTTTATTGGACTGACACCAAATGTGAATTAATAAAGTTTACCATGTTCTGTATGTACTCTATGTACTGTACTGTTCAGGACCTGCCGGAGAGTTTATCTAAGCTGAAGAAGCTGCAAAGGTTGGATCTAGGGGATAACGAGATTGATTTTCTTCCACCTCACATTGGAGATCTAGAGTCATTAGAAGGTTTGTTTACGCCACAATTTGCGCATTTTTGCGGAGGCTTGCAATCTGAAAGAGTGTCTTATTTTGTTGGTTTGCAAGTCATTGGTGTAAAAAGTGTGTAAGGTTATTTAAACTAAAGTTAATTTAGAATAAATTTTGCAATGATCCATAAAAATCCAATTTAGAATTTTTTGGATTCTTTGTGAGTACTTGTTACACATATGAAGATATTTTTTTTGAATTTTAGGATCAAACGGGAAGCATTTCATCTCTGTGAAAAATTCAAGTTTTTCTAACTGTCTATTTCATAAGTTTGCCTTCATTTAACTTTGCCAAATTATTTCTCTGATCAAAGACACCAATACGATTTTTTGAAGCGATTGATAAAATCGTTTTGAAAAATTTAAAATCGGATTTTTAAACGATTCCCATTGGATCCTCTAAAAGTTTTAGTATATTAGTAGACGGGCGTACACCGGATTTATAGTATAAGATATATTGGATAGCTATCTTGAGTAGAGAATATTGATGACACCTATAATGTTACCGTCCGTTTAGAATACTTTCATAGATTTATTTACAACACAATTACTTTCTCCCACTCCTTTAACTTGAATGTTAAATTCAAGAAGGGAAGGGTTCATTTTGGTTGTCATTGATTGATTAATGTATATCATAAAAATCGGAGTTACAAATAAACCAAGAAATGCAGTTAAAAGTCCATCAACATATTTGGGTCAATCTTATCAAACTATGCATCTCTTTTTCTAATAACAATTCTTTTAACAAACTTGCATTAAGCTTTGGGGTTTTGAACGAGCATAGGGCCTTCAATTTCGTGCAAAAATCTTAAAACTAATTTTTGGTGCGAGAAATTGCCGACGAGTCCAAGTTTTTAACCGCTATTAAATCGGCCAACCATATTGATTTCACTTTGATCCTGAATAACTAATAAACCAACCGCAATTTCTGTTTTGTATTATTATTTTCCTTCTTAAGTTTACATCCCAATATACCTGATTGAATTGAATAGAGTTCAGTTCTAAAATAGGTTTATTTGAATTACTTGGAAACTTTTGAGCATTATCAAGTTTAGATGCTGGTTTAGGTTATGGGGGGGGGGGTTGTCATGCAGAGATTTTGCGGCAGAATTCACCTTGTCGCACATTTTGCGAATAAAAGGGACTGTCAGCGTAAGTTTAAGGGACCCTTAATGTTCTCTTCCGATTCACAACGGTACCATCTGATAAGAATATGGTCGTTAGTGTCGTTTTTCTGACCTCAAAAGTGTTTATTTATGTTCATTTCTCCATTGTTTCCAATAAAAAAGGAACGCACAAGTCACTGTTGCAGGGAAACCACCAATAAGCAGTTTAGATGAACAAAACATGCATAGCTGAATCATACTTAATCAGACAAAGCTTTTAAGGGTATCGTTGTAAATCGGGCATTGCAATCTTTGCGTGGAGTATACTGTACAATGTTCGGCCAGATTATTCCAAGATGAACTCCAAATTTGGATACTTACGATTGAAGAATTCTTTAAAAAAACATATTTTTTTGTTGTCAATTGAAGGTTTTGATATTTACAATATTTAAGTTTCCTTCCCTGGTTCAACTTTATTAGGCGGAGTAGAGCGATGGGGAAGGAAGAGGAGGAGGGTTTGATCTCCGGGATTGGATATTTACACATCTCAGGAGATATCTTCCCCGTCCCAAACCTAATCCAACTTTAACTCTCAATCTTGTATAATTAAACCTGGTTCTATTAGGCCGAGGGGGTTTGCCCAAGCCAAATTGGAAATATAAAAAAAACAGGGAAATTGCCGAAAAGTTGTTTGTTGCAAGAAAACATTGTTTATTTCGATAATTAACAACAGCAACAAATGGAATTTAAAAACTCGTAGAATTTTGTCTCAGGAATTGTGAAGGTGGGTTTAGAAATAATAATATTTAAAATTAGTAACATGTCTGAAAATTATTATTTATTAATTGACAGATTTCTACAAGATACTGGAACGAAAATCTTCTTAAAATTGATATTATGATGAAAGCTGAAAAGATACCATTTTGAACCGGACACATAACTCTTATGTATGGAGGGACTTAAATTATGTCGACATTCTCTTTAACCAAAAAACATTGTCATTTATTGGGACCAAATTTGTTAAAGACTCAAGTCGCTGAACCACCTACTGCCGGTTCAAATATGAACCACCAATTCAAAGCTAAAGATTAAGGAAGGATTTGAATTAGTAATTCCAGTTTGAACCCTGCGGTAGACAGTGCAAATTCAAGGGCGTCCGCAGGGGGGGGGTCAAAGGGGGAAGTGCCCCCTGTAGAACTCAGAGCTATCACACTTGTAAGTTAATTGGACTGTATGTGTATTTTGTACCTTTAAAGTATCCAAGAAGCCAAATGTTTTGATTATACAGTTCAAATTTTACCCTTCGCGCATATTTTATTTATTTCTGTGTAAGCCCTTGTTCAACTTCATTAAAATCGGTGGCTGATTGATTTCTAAATAAAAACTGTGTTCAGAACTATGGTTGGATCACAATGGGTTGACCCGGCTACCTGAGGAGATCTCTAAACTGCATGCTCTGGCTTGTCTTGACGTGTCCGAGAATAAACTTGAAGATCTACCGGTAGAAATATCAGGTTAACATTAATTTCTTTGCTGTTCAGAACTGTGACTATGTCCTAAAGTTTGTCTCCAAAAAATTAGCAAATATATCATATAAAATATATTATAACGTATCTATCCTCTACCATTTTAATGTTTTTTATTTGATAATTAAGATTTTTAATAAGAAAATGTTTAGGACTAAGTAATTTGACGGACCTTCATCTTTCACAGAACCTTCTAGAGAAACTCCCTGATACTATAGGTAAACGTGAGGGGTATATAGTTTGAAGAACCCCCCTCCCCCCACACCACCTCCTTCCCCAATATGGGAGATACAGGAATATTTCGTGCATTGTATAAACTAGAATGTTTAACTACCGAATCAGAGAAAACACAAGATTTAATGAAATGTTTTATGTAAAGGCTAAAATTTTACTATTTGATGCCCCTCCCTCGTTTTTATTATTGTGTGTACGTGTGCGTGTTGTAATCTTTGTTCGTTTGTTTTTATGTATGTCTGATCATAACTCATGAACCCCTGCTTTGTAAAACCATGGGAATTTTCTTAGCTTGGTTTCAATATTCTAATTTGAGGCTCAAATTTGGTCAGCTGCTGGGATCTTTTATGTTCATTTTATAGCAAAGGTTTTCTCTCTCTCTCCATTCATTCATTTTTTTCAATGAAAATTTGCCTACTGTTTTCTTTGCAAAATTTCATTTTAAATTCTTTTCGCTAATTGCATTCTTTTCTCAAACTTAAAGCCAACGTTTTAAAAAATGAAAGATGATACAGACTAAACCCTTTATAGTTCATTAAGATATTGTTACCAAAATGATTTTCAGACGAAAATTTGACATACTGATGGGGATATTCCACTGGACGATCCTTTTTAAAAGGATCCTTTTTACAGAAATGTGTTTTGGTTTCAATTATTTGAAAAATGTTTTAATTTTAAGCAAAATTTGAAAAAATCCCTAGTTTAAATTTTTTTCTAAATTGTATTAACAATACTTCTACAGTGGTATTCTAAATAACCCGGAATAATGTAAATTGATTGATGACTTCAAAGTCGTCTTTAATAGTTTGCGGCATTTAACATTGGTAACCTAATTTCAGCAATATTTTTTAATGAATCAATAATCACAGAACATTCCTAGTACTGCCATTTCCAAAATGTGGTCAATCAATTTATATTATTTCGTTTTATTTTAAATGTCACTGTAGTATCATTAATACTATTTTTAATGTTATCATTATCATTATCATTATCATTATCATTATCATTATCAATATCAATATCAATATCAATATCAATATCAATATCAATATCAATATCAATATCAATATCAATATCAATATCAATATCAATATCAATATCATTATCATTATCATTATCATTATCATTATCATTATCATTATCATTATCATTATCATTATCATTATCATTATCATTTTCATTATCATTACCATTACCATTACCATTACCATTACCATTACCATTACCATTACCATTACCATTACCATTATCATTATCATTATTATTATTCTAGGAATGCTGACTAAGTTAACAATACTGAAAGCTGATCAGAACAGGTTGGTGAACTTGAACCCTAATATAGGATCCTGTATCAGTCTACAGGAACTTGTCATCACAGAGAACTTTCTTACAGAGATACCAACCAGCATAGGTTAGTTCAGTTTATAATTTACTAAAGGGGCTTGAGATGGATTAATGTAACACGTGTTAACTTAAATACCTAAGTACTTCGACTTGAGAGCTTAAAAATTTACTATGCTCTTCTAATTTTTTTCATGTTTGATCTCAATGAACATGGGTTTTTGATGTGTGAAAACTTTGCAAGATGTTCTTAAAAATAAAAATTTCTATGATTTGGTTAAAATAATATTTTTTATTTTTATATTTGTCTTTTCTCAATAATATTTACTATCCTACCGAATCAAATTATCTTGCATTATTTAAGCTAGGGATATTTGGTTTATTCAAGGAAATATTAAGATATAAGTTCTACTGAAACGAGTAATGAGTACAAAAATCTACACTGTATACATTGTGACCCAAACATTATTTTAGCCATCTTATGTAAATTTTATGTTGTTTTAAAGCAAACAGTTTGTCCATTTACTTGGAATCACTTGTTAAGTGAAATGACGCTTCTGAGGATAAATGCTTAATCCCTGAATTTAAATTTATCCCTGCAGGGTATGACCACCACGAGATATTGAAGAGGAATTGAGTTAATCCGTAAATCTGCCTAAAACATGAGATAAAAAGTGCCGAAAAAGTGCAAAATATGAAAACTGAGATATATTTTTATCGGATAAAACTGCAATAAATTTCTGACTGTATTTACTATATTGTACACTGTATTGTCCCATAAATAGAAGCTCAGTATTAACTACAGCAGTTTACACTTTCCACTGCACTTATGTTTTTCATCAGTTTACGATCATCTACCACCAGAAGTGTATTCAGGATAAAAGGGGGGGGGGGGCCGGGGGGTAACCGGAGGACTATTTCCCTTGCTCCCTAAAGTCAAATTTCGGAAGGTCTCTCCACCCCTCCTCGCCCTCCCTCCCTCTATCCATAATACGCTAGAAATTTAAGGGGGTTCATTATATTTTTGTTTTGGTGGGGGGGGGGGAGAGTAGTATCATAATTTTCCTTGGATGTCGTCTTTCTTTTCCAAAGTTAAATTGTTCTCACTGTATCTTTATACATGTATATATAAAGTAGTAATCTCTGTTTGTTTGTTGGGAATTCTGATCATAACTCATGAACACCTTGAACGATTTGCCTCAAGTTTTTATTGGGGAACTTAGTAGAACAATGGAAATGTTCGTAACTAGATTTAAAAGTTTAAATGGACGACTTTTGTTGAAAAAAACTTAGTTTCCATGCAAAGCTGGGTTCCTGCGCGATTTTCTTTAGTTGATCTTTAAACTGTGAAGATGAAAGAAGAATTGTTGAAAACTCTTGTTTAACGTTCAATAAAAATCCACCCTGGGGGATCATTTCTCAACCGTAGGAATGCAATAAACAGCAAGGTGTACTATCTATGTAGTGTGTGTGCCAGTATACAGGGTGTCTAAAAACATGGGAATAAAGTGTCGACTTGAATTCGTCTTTCATTTCTGCGTTCTTTTTTATTGAAAGTTATGCACAATCCACATTGAGGATGCACAAAGTAAGGATGCTTATTAAGGACGGATAGTGAGAATGCATTTGCGTGCACAAAAGCGTTGTTTAAAAGGGTGGCATACATAAATATATACCTACAAGGCTACCCAAAAGGGATGAGACTGTAAAGACGACTTAAAATTCTTTAAATACAACGATCCCAAGTCTAATGCCTTGCATTTGGTTTTTAAATTAAATAATTTGGCAAAGTAAGAAAGATGTTAATAGTTGCAGGGAATCATGAATATAAGTAAACTGTACAATCGTCTCTGAAGTCTCATCCTTTGTTTTTAACCTTGTACATCGCAGCAAATTATAAAATAGTTAAAATCAATATTGCAGAAAAATCCATGATCTTAAATGATTTAATATTTAGGAAACCTGACGAAGTTGACGAACTTGAACCTGGACAGGAACAGGTTGGAGTTCCTTCCCTCGGAGATGGGTCATCTTGTAAACATCGGGGTTCTCTCCCTCAGGGAGAATAGGCTTGTAGAGATCCCAAGTGATATAGGTAACATTTAAACTAGTGCTTAGGCTCCATTTAATTTTGATGCGTATCCGGATTCCGGATCCTGGATCCGCTATGGAAAAAATGGATCCGTATCCAGTTCTTCAACATTTATTTAAGATTTACTGATTTTTTTTACAGAAGAAGATAGTTCAAATTATTATTTTTTTCGTTATTTTTATGCTATAACTTGATGAACCGTTCAGAGATAAGGAAACTTTTGATTTTTTTTTCAACAGATTTTTATTTTGAGAGAAAAAGATTTTTATTTGCAGTTTTTGATATTTTTCTTGGATCCAGGAAGAAGCACTGATTTAAACTTTTAAAGTTTTAAAACTCTAATCTCTTAAAATTATAATATTAGTCCACTTTTCAATTTAAAAAAACTAAACATTTTTTGATTAGAAATAAGTCTGTTTTATTACTTGATACTTGATACTTGTGAAGTAATTCTCCATCTTCCAAATAGGAATGTTGAGAATATCTTGATTTCTTCATGTGTTGTCTGCTATAGATCAGATGTAGCTTCAATTTTTCTCAAATCAGCAGCCACTCCATCCTCAATGATTCTTATCATACAGTTGTTTAAACTGAACTGTATTTCTTGCATGTTTAACATCATAGGGTAAAGCATTCCATAGGTCAATAACTNCTTCCTCAAAGATGATATTTGGGAGACATGAGTTTGTTAGTTTTCTAGTCACTGGAATAGTTGTTATATCTTCATCAGAAAATATACTAGAGAAATAGTCATTAAGCATTACTGTTATTTCCCCTGTATCACTTGTTGGGACTCCATCAGTATTTTTAAGGGGTCCTACTGTTGTCCTGTTAGATGTTTTTGATTTTATGTAGGAGTTGAAAGATCGTTGATTTTTATTATCAAGGGAAATTTTCTTCTCCAATTAATTTTTATTTTTCTCATACCTATATAAGACCTTTCTTGTCAAGACTTATCTTCTATATTGACAAAGGCTGAAGAAAGTTCAACATTTTTTTTTCTCCAAAAATCGAAGAAAAAACTCCAAAATTTTTCAAAATTCGATTTTTTTCACGGGCATCGCCTGCCACTCCAGCTAGTCTTTTGTAAAGTTTAAAAAAAGTTATGCAGAATTTTTTGTTCGAGTATAATAGAGATGGCCTTCAATGTAAAGTGGGACATTCCTGATTCACATCGGTGCACTTTAAACCTATATCTCAGCTATAATGAGGAAGATATCATTGTTTTATATCAATCTGGAAAACAGGAGAATTTGGACAATTTCATAGAGAAATATTAATTGGAAATCATTGTCAGAAAAACAGGGATATCTTCTTCATTAATGCTCAAAAGAAGGGTCAAATTTTTAGGGGGTCCCTTCAAAAATCCTCGACAGTCCCTTCAAGTTGTTTTTGTTTAGGTAATTGCCGTGAACTACATGTTCTTGATGTTTGTGGGAACAGACTTAATCATCTTCCCTTCAGTCTTACCTCGCTTAATCTAAAGGTAGAAGTAGAATTAGAATAAAGAAAATTCCCATCTCCCCTACCTTACCCTGAATAAATGTAAAATCAGGGTTTTCTTTAATAGTCTTCGCCAAGGGCGTTCTCAGGGGTGGCTTAACATTTTTCCTTTGCAGGGAGGGGGGCTCAGCATCTGTAACAAAGCCCGGAAAATCCCCTGGAAACCAAAGATTTTACTGATCCCGGGGTGGAAAAGGAGGGGGGGCTTTGATAACTTGCAAATATTTCCATTATTTTTTACCAAATTTTATCTTTCCTTGCCTCTTATTTTGTTCTCGTTGGATTAATAAGAATTAAGGAGAGGTTAAACTATCTTATGTTCCGGGTTTTAAATTTGGATTCAACCTTGTATCGATATTAAAGAAATGTTTGGAAGATGTTTTAAGTTGCTCATTCAGACGTCATATTTAAGTTATGAGTGTTCCACCCCTGCTTGAATTGCCCAGTAAAAAGTGCCAATAAAACAGCTGTTGTCATCTTATTGTTATTGTTATTGTGCTCCAAGTATATGATAAGAGCAGCACTATATGGTGGAATTTAAGGGATTGTTCATAAATTTGGTTCAAATACATTTTAGTAAAATAGATGCCAACGTAGAATTTGTACACTCTCAGTACAGCTGTATTCATAACTCAGTTTTTGTGTCCGACAAAATTTTTAAAAATAGTGATAATTTTAGGATAAGGTGCTTATCTTACAATAAAATAAGTCCAATTTTATGTGTTCTTTATTTTCTGTTTTTATAATTTATTCTTAATCTTGAAAAGCATGTCAACTAATGTGAGAAAATTTCGTTTTCCTTGTTACATTTGACACTTGTGACGTCGTGTATAATTGGTCTATTTCTCTGTTGCCACCTGTACTTGACAATCTATTTGGGGTGGATAGTATTATTTATTTATAAGATGACTTACTTTTGACAGCAATCTGGAGATTTCATTTTTGGGTTTTTATATTTAAAAAAGAATTATATTTAAAATAAGCATTACGTAATTAAAGTAAAATATGTTTCCCTACTTCACCGATAAGAATTACCTGATATTTTAAAAAACAGTGATTCGACCTGTTTCACCAAAAGCTCGACAATTTTGGTTTCTCTACACTGTTCTTTAACCTTATTCATTGTTTTGGTAGCTCTGGTTATCGGTTAAAAAGTATTCATAAAGATAGGCATGAATAAAATAATTTCCTAGACATGTCAATAATCCCATTATTGTCATAAATTTTTATTTTTTTTTATTTTGTATTGGATACTTCTTCTTAAATACAAGAAAAATCCCTTTTTTCAATTCAGTGATGGGAGGCTTTTTACAAAACACGTAAATAATTCCTTTTATGCAGCGTTCTAGTTATTAGCTTTTTAGTAAATGCATAAACATTTCATTTGGACAAATTCTAAAATGTTTTCACAGTGCACACACTCCCTTTAACACAAATGTTGTTAGTTCCTTGAAGTATCCGTGACTAAATTTTGTTTATGTTCAGGCCCTGTGGCTGTCTGAGAACCAGGCTAAGCCAATGCTTGCTTTCCAAACTGATTATGACGAACAAACTGGAGACCAGGTATTTAATCCATCTTTTTGTTTGGATCCAACAATAAACTGTTTAGTTTCCTTTGCAGTTTCACTGTTAAAGGGAGTGTTCGCGAAAAATGCAAGGGGGTATAGGCTTAGTGCGATAAAAAAGCGCTTTTGATCGCTACTAATCTTACTTCTATCTGTTGCGTCTATAAGGAGAAAATTGTTAAAGACGTCTCATACCGAATAACTTGGAGGCCATACAAATTCAGAAAATTGCAACTATGACTTAGACCGTAAAAAATCAATTTAATTTCAAACAAATCATTTAGATATTACAACCTATAAGTCATCGATTATCTTTCGCCACATTTGTACATATTTTATATTTTATAATATTTTTTTAATTAATTTGTTTATTTCTCTTGTCGCTAGCGCAACTATCTAAGAATGCCGCACACCACTCACAATTTTCGAAATCCATTGAGAACGTTTTCTAAAAAAATAAAATATCATAAAATATAAACTATATACAAATGTGGCGAAAGATAATCGATGACTATAGGTTGTAATAAATGATTTGTTTGAAATTAAATTGATTTTTTACGGTCTAAGTAGTATGTTGCATGCAATTTTCACAATTGTATGGCCGCTAAGTTATTCGGTATGAGACGTCTTTAACAATTTTCTCCTTATAGACGCAACTGATAGAAGTAAGATTAGTAGCGATCAAAAGCGCTTTTTTATCGCATTAAGCCTATACCCCCTTTCAGTTTTCGCGAACACTCCTTTTAAAGATGCTTGAGCATTTCTTGCATTTAAGAGTTAAATGCTTTTCGAGTCAGAAAACGACAGTGTCTTCCACATTGTTGATCAGATCAAGGTTTCAAGGGTACCATTGAAAACCCGGGCATTGCAATCTTCGCATGTAGGGTCACTTTAAATTAAGCTTATAGTCCTTTTAATTTAATTTTTCGCTTACATTAAAAAGTTTTAAATGTAAGCGTAAAAGCTTTGACAGAGTTTATTTCGAATATTTTAATAAAAGGAGAAGGTTTAATGCACCAAATACAGATGAAATGGATCACATTTCAACTGAATTAGTTTGAATCTAAATATCACATTATATTAAAATCAAGATTTGATGTTAAAATTTCTAGAAATCAACTCAAAATATAATGTTAAATTTTTCATTTCACATTTTAAAAATTTTCCAATTTGTTAGTTAGTGATGTTTGTTAGTTAGTGATGTGCAATGATTCAGAACTCTTTGATATATTAATAAAACAATTTTAAAAAAGATATTATTAACTCAAGAACTTCCCCCCCCCCTTTTTGATACTGTTTTAAAATCAANGAAAGAAAGTAAAAAACAATTACCACTGTCATTTTTAACCAGACAACATCTACCAATTGATTTTTTGAAAAGTTCTCTAAAAACAACTTAAATTATAATTTAGCGGCAATGGATGTTTGTTTTCTCTCTAATCCTAGTTTTATCTTAATTGTTCTATTATGAAAATTCTCTTTTAGGACTCAACTATACTTAGTTTAATCTGGAGGCATTGTTTGTTTTAATTAACAGACTTCGGGGAGGGGAGGGGGTGTCAAATGAGATCCACTGATAAAACAGTTATGTCATTCCTATGTAATTCTAATAAGAATGATTGAAAAATAGTAAATAGTACATTTTTGATGTTTCGTTTCAAAAGGTTTAGTGCAGATTTTTTTTTTTTTGCATTTTGATTGCTTTATATTATGGTTTTATAACATTGTAAAGTCTGAACAGTTTTACTCACACTTTATAAAAAAAAAACTCTTAGAGTCTTCTTGATAATGTTTTTATTTTATTATTGTTTGTATGTATATTAGCCTACTATAAATGCAATGTTAGGCCCAATGAATAATAAATAAGTGTTTTCTAAAGAGCTTAATGATTAGATATATACAGACTAATTATTAGGGTCATGCTTTCAACATCTAGTGTGTACTTTCTTTACAAACTGTTTACCAAAGAATATTATTTATGAACAAATATTAGTTCAGAAGAAACATGAATATTAAACTACAAAGATTAAAACTTCAGAGACGGGTTAAAGAATTTTATCAGTAGTTTTTCTTGAATTATCTAAACTATTTGATTATATTTTTTATTTAGTCACAACTTTTGTTTATTTATCCAAATTCAGATTTTTTATAAAACACATTTTTAAACTATTATTATTTGATTATTTTTACCCAATAATTATTTACAGAATGAAATTTGAAATATAATGTCTAAAAAATACCTATTCAGAATAAACTCATTGGGTCATTTAACCTTTCATGCTTAAAATTTAGTAAATTGTACTTTTAAGTCTATCTAAGTTAATTAGCATTATTATTTACTTTATTTTTTATTTACACCATAGCCTTTTAGGAGGCCAGAGGCCGAATTTAAAGAATTTAAGTCCACGAAAACCCGGTTTAAAATGAGCTCCGGCTTAAATCTTGAAACATTTGATACAATTTTATGTGAAACCAACCATAATAAAGCCGCCGCTTAAATTCAAACCGCGGCTCAAATTCTTTAAATTTGGTTTCAATTCGCCCTTTTAATGTTTTACAAATGATCACAGTTTTTTATATTATTAAATTTTTTAGGAAGTTTTTAATATTTTTGAATTTTTGTTAAAAAAAAACGACATGCACAAGGAAAGCTAATGTTCAACAGGATAAAAATTGTTCATTTTTTCGTTAACTTTTTTTTGAGAAACACAAGGATGGCCATTTTAGGTATTAATGTCAGAGTTACTGTTGAAATTAAAATCCAAATAGAAGATCCTGTAAAACAGTGTTAAAATAATAAATATGAAAGGGAAATTTAAAGATATAAGCTGAAGGGTTTTGTTCTGAAATGTTGGATGGGTCAATCTGCTGAACAATCCAGAGATGATTTCAAGGATGTACGGGGGAGGAAGACTTAAGCCGCCAAAAATTCCAGAAGAAATTCTGAGTTTAAGCATTTTTGACGTTTTTTTTATGCATATTTTATTATTTTATTTAAAATAGTATTTGTTTGATTAAAATTCTTTTCCTATTATCCTACTCCAATATCAGTTTAAAGGTATGAAATTATTCAGTTTTAATCCATTGCATTGTAGATTTCCTAATCCTTATTTTAACTCTGTCGGATTTATTTGTTCCTAGTTCAAAGTTTGTAGTTAATCGCTATCTCAAACAAAATTTAAACTTGATGTTATGTTATAAGGGCATGCTATAATAAGGATGAGCCAAGAGTCGCTTATTTGACATGTGAGACAACCAACTTTTTGAGTAAATACACCTTCCTGGTCTTGGACAAGCTTGGGCACATAACTCCCTGTCTTGCGTAAGACTACACACCTGTAGTATCTGCTCAGGTAGAGAGGATCCTCCTAGTCCAGTCCGAGTGCGTGTGGGCGCACGATAACGTCTAGGTCAGGAGCAGGGAGATCAACAGGGTGAGGGACCACCTGGTACCGCACAAGCAACAGGAACAGGTGGGCTTCTGGATCAGTCCTCCGGGGGTTTGAGAAGAACGAGAGAGACGAGAATCAAACTTGTATTATGAAGTAAACACGGAACGGCCTTAAGGTCTTCAGTAGATCAGTATTTGGAAAAAGATACCGCTAGAGATATGACATGGTAAAGAGAGATAGACAAGGGCATAATAAAGATCACAAAGTATCAGACATATAGCGGTGCCATCCTGGAGGATTCTAGAGGAGATCAGGAGTCATAGTGCAGCCGTGAACAGAGCCTAGAGACAGGTTGTGAGAGTGGGTGGCGGTGTATGATTAAATAAAATTACAACCCTGGCAGGCTGGCTTAGGCCGGAAATGAATTGGGGTGAAAAATGAAAGATTGGACATCAAAATGCGAATGTTTTCATCCTAACCCAACTTCATAGTAAATAAAAGATTTAATAGAAGGAGGGGGGGGGGGTTACATTTCAAGAAAAACAAATTAATTATCAAATTAATTGCAAAGTCAAAAATAATTAATGTGAAAATGCACGAGGCCGGATTTAATAATAGATTGATTGATTGAGTGTAACCTCTATTCTATTATCTTTGCTCGACTGATAGATTTCTCCTTTCAGAAAATAGGTTTTTCTTCAGCTCTGAAAATAACACTTAATAAAAAGGATAAATGGATAAAGAGGATTGGAAATTCTCTTGATATGTGGAACAAAAGGAACTTCTGAACTAGACAGCTTAACTGGAAATAAGAAATTTTCTATTTTCTCTAGAAAGGGTTCAGTTCGCAATTCTATTCGACAAGCTTTTATACAACAAAGGCCCAATCTTTTGTTAACATTACAATCTATACCTAGGGGAATTAAATCCTAACTGATAATCTTGGAAAGGATAAAGGGGGGGATTAAGGGTTCAAGCTATCAAGAAAAATCGATGAGAATTTAGTCAATTCTTAAAACCTTAAGCTAACAACAAGTGCTTTATTGTGCTATAATGTGAATGCGTTGCGACACTTCAAAGTTGATCCTGTCTTAAAAAATTTGATGAGGCTTTTCACATCTATCTGAATCTATGTGATTGATAAGATACCTCAAAATTACAGTGATAACCAGAAAAGTCTGAAATAGAAAGACGACTTTTAAACTCAAGTTAGGACTTAAACTAGTTCAATGATCATTGAATATTAATCATAGCAATTGATATAGTGTAAATAGACCTCTTTTCAATTAAATTGTGCTTTGCTTAATAAATAGCAAAAATATTTGCTTTTTAAGAACATCAAAACGCGTAAGTATTGCTATAATGTCGTCTTTCTATTTCATTGTTTTCTGAATATCATTGTAGACTGGGCATCATGTTAAATTTGTAAGTGTTAGTATACCTACCTATATTTTACAATAAAGTTCTTCGCTCATATAAACATATACATGATTAAACAAATTTTCCATTGTTTTTTATTCCACGGGCAACGACGGGCACTCTTGCATATATATACATAACTATATGTATTATTCATTTTTTTATATTTTATTGAAGATAAAAGGATATATCATCAATAATTCTTCAGACCACTTTGTATTAATCTAAATCCTGGAATAAAAGTGCATTTGGGGGTTAAAACAAACTTTTTTAAAATAAAAAATAGAAACTGTTGAGATATTGTCGATATTAAGAACTTTAAAATTTAGATTTGATTTTTTGGCTTTGTGTTTATATTATACCGCTATGCACTTCTGTCGAACTAAATCATCCCAACTAATATATTATAAAAAATCTCATATAATTTGACAGATTATGTTACTGGGATTCTAATTGATTAAGATTTGTTTGTTTCTAATTGATTCAAACAATAAAGGGGCTGAGATCGTAATTTCAAGTAACACTTATTTCCAAGATAGCAATGACCGATTTACAACGGTACCCTTGAAACTTTAATCTGAACAAAAATGTGGAAGATACCGTTGGTTTTCTAAATCGAAATGTGTTAATTTCTGTTATTTTCTCCATTGCTTCTTATGAAAATGAAATGCACAGGTCACTTTCGCAGAGTAACCTCAAATGAAAATGAAGAGTTTAAAGAAACAATAACATTGATGTCCAATTCATACAAGATCAGACAAAGCTTTTAATGCTACCGTTTAAATAGGGCATTTATTTTGAATATCTCCAAATGTTTGATAATTTGAAACTCTAAACCAATTTCTGAATCCATGAGAGCTGATTGAGATGGCTAAATTAGAGTGTATTGTTTCACGAAGAACTGAAAAAAAAATGTTAAACCTTCTGATGGTGCAGACTGCAGATATAAATTGAATAAGTATATTGAGCTTCTGCTTTTTAAACCTGTTCCCACATATTTATGGCTATAAATTTATTTATACAACTACCAAGATTTAGGTGTAAAACCGTTTAAAATTGTCAAGACGACATTTTATTAATTCTTTCGTTACTCCATAGTTCTGGGCTAAACGGCTAAACTGTGGCAAGTTTAAGTTTTGAATTCTAAAAGTTGCAACCTAAGATGATATTTTGTTTAGGTGTTGACCTGTTTCCTACTCCCCCAACTAGAGGTGGACGAAGATAGAGAAAGCCCTGGTCCTAGGTAAATATACTAAACTGAACTGAGGTCGTAATTAATGAATGGCAAACAAAGTTGAACCAGAGAAATAATTCAACTAATTTTCGCTATTCACTACTTCTCTCATCTGGTTTCTAATTCACAATTTATTTGAACCCTTTTTCATATCCAGTGACTCGTTGGTCAACGTTCGAGGATTCGACCAATGAGAGGTCCAGATATTTCCAACCTTGATCAATCAGGGTTAAACCAATGGGAACTGATGATTGTACTTTTAAGTAATGCCACCGAAGGTGGCGATTTTTTTGCATCTATTCTGAAAACTATTAAATCCTGACGTGCAAAAAAAGAAGACAATCTTTTTCTGCGCTTTTTAGCCGGATATTTTTTTATTTTATTTATCTCCCTGAATTTTCCCTGAAATTGAATAAAATTTAAATAAACAATTCACGTCAACTTTGTAAGATGCTCTCTTTTAAATTTGGTGTACAGAATACTTTTCCTGTTTGGAGCAAAGGGAAATCTACAGAATGTAGTTTATTCAATTTATTCATGATATACGATCCAGAATATATCTTCATTTCAAAATAAATATTGTACATTTAAAACGTTCACAAGAAGGTTTTGTAAGAGGGAGGGGGGGGGGAGGGGAATAAAATTAAATTTTTTCGGAAATGTTGATAAATAAGTTTTTAAAAAATTTATTTTCGTTAGATGTTATAGTTAGACTGCATATTTGAAACATACATACAATTTTCCACATATCGTTTATATATTTATATAAATATAATATTTTTATAAATAAGATAGTAATATTAAAAAATAATAGCTCTGATTATTACAGGAAAGATACGAACGGAGATGGATGGTGGAATAATCCTCAATCTTGGGAGACAAATCAGGTAAACATATTATTTAGAGGTAGAAACTTTAGTCGTGAACTAGCAGCGAAACTGGGTTTAGTATTTTTAAAAGTGAAAGTCAAGCTTTTCCTGTTAACATATTATATTAAAGAGGAAATTTTAGTCAGGACTTAACAGTGAAACTGGGTTTGGTTTTAAATTTGAGAAAACCAAGCTATTGTGTAAACACACATTATATATAAGTGGAAACTTTAGACAGGATAAAGCAGCGAAACTGGGTTTATTTTTATTTTTTCAAGAAAACCAACTATCATGTTAACATATTAACCATAGAGGGCAAATTTAGACAATATAGATCCAAACAGTTAAGTTGCATTAGTTTACAAGACTGAGTCTCCTTTTAACCTACGCTGCACATTGGCCATTGTTTTAACCTCACTAACTTACGTATACTTTTTTGTACCCCCTAGACATGTACACTGTACAGTTAAAACTATAAAGCTCTTTTTTAGCTTAAGTATTTAAGAAGTAGTTATTAGAATCCATAATAAATTTAGCTTGAGGTATGCAATCGTTAGATCACCGTGTATGAGTAACGAAATGAATGTGTTTACTACAAATATAATAAATACATACATATAGATATTTTGTTAAAAAATGTTTGGTAAAAAATACTCTTAGAATGTGATTAATAATGTATCCAAGATATTGCCTCTCTTCTATGTTGTATATTTACTAAAAGGTTAGATGGAAATATTATAAAAATCATATTGAATATTCTCAAAATATAGTCGTAAACAACTCCAGTGTGTGGGATATATTTATACTATTTTGCTTTATTTATTTGATTACTAACTGTTTTTCTATTAATTTTCCCGTTTTCTTGGAAAAGTAAATTCATTTTTTTCAATACAATGAAATTGCCAAATTAAACTTTCACGGTAAACTAGACAAAGGGAGAAAGTAAAATGTATGCGATATTACCGGTACGACTTTTTGACCTCGTAGCTCCACTAGCTTTGATTTTATGTACAAATGTACGGAGAGGAAATTTACCCGGTTACATAATTAGAAAACTCAAATATGGTTGTTCTTCTCAATAAGAGAAAGAAGATTTCAATCTTATGCACAACTTACTTCAGGTTGACGTAATTTAATTCCCCTTCATTTCAGTATAATAGATATTAACAGAATCTGCCAATGAATGATGGTTGTGAGAAGATCAAACTATATCTCTTGACGGGGTAAAAACATTCTTCATTTCATTGACAGTTTGAACCAGCTTGATAGATTATTATATAGAAGATGAAAACTTTCACATTTTTATCTTAGCATTATTTTCCAAAATGCATATTTTTAAAACTAAATATACTAATTTTGAATTATTCAAAGTTATGTCAAGGTAATTTTAAATTAACACGGTCACACCAAAGTGCTAAATTATCATTTAACCAAGCAGGCGTAAATCAGAAAAAATTTACACTGTTAAAAACTTTGTCATCATTCTCATAAATACACTAATTTAATTTACGCACCAATTGTATTATTGAATTTGCAAATATTTTTATTTTTGAGCGTGGAACCATAATTATATAGTAAATTGAAAAGTTATTAGATTTTTAAGGTATTCTTTTATTCTTTTTATTTATATAATAATTTTTAAGTCTGGGATCCTAATAATAATTTATAAGAAAAGTTATAAAATGTTGATTGATATGCTCTTCATTTATTCTTTTATCATGTCCGGAATCTTAATTAAAATGTTGAGAAAATTAAAAGAAATTGTTTGTTTTGGTTCAATTTTGCTGTATCCTTTAGTCTCTAGTGCATTAGTATGCATGAACAGCCATTCACAGCCAGCCGAACTATCACAATAAATAAATAAAATATACTAACATACAATACCCACCAAATTCTAGTCTTATTATATAATCATAACTGGAATTGTAGTTAAATTATTCTAAAGTTGCCACAAAAAAATGCATTATCAAAAAGTAGCTTCTTTAAAAATATTACATTTTATTATGAAGTTGGCACCTTAAAATAGTGTACATTCGGGAAGTTGATGCTTTATAAAGTGGGAATTTGGAAAATTCCCACTTTGAAAGTTGGAAGATCGAAAAATTGTTACTTTCGCGGGACGATGGCAATTCGAAAAATTAGCTGGAAAACATCTGTCAACATATGTTTTAATATACAGTTTTACATTTACTTACTCTTTCTAGCTCCAGTCAGATGAGAGTGAATACATTATCATCAGTGCTATGCATAGAAGTGCCAGACCCTCTCAGATCCTTTCTAATCAGATCTTTTCTAATCAGATCCTTTATAATCAGATCTTTTCTGATCAGATCCTTTCTAATCAGATCTTTTCTAATCAGATCTTTTCTAATCAGATTTTTCTAATCAGATCTTTTCTAATCAAATCCTTTCTAATCAGATCTCTTCAAATCAGATCTTTTCTAATCAGATTTTTCTAATCAGATCTTTTCTAATCAAATCCTTTCTAATCAGATCTTTTCAAATCAGATCTTTTCTAATCAGATTTTTCTAATCAGATCTTTTCTAATCAGATCCTTTCTAATCAGATCTTTTTACTTATGAAAAGGTGTGTGGCCACTTTAAATTCCCCTCATCAGACGTTTTCTTGAAAATCAATTGCATCCATAAAAATAAATTTTGATCTTTACAACCTGATGGTGTAAATCTTTGATATTTTAAACTATTCGCTCTGACAGAGTTAATATTTGAAACTATTTAAGATGTACGACATCGGGTTGCAAAGATATAATGTTTAAAAAAATAAGAGTTTGTGGCAGAAACTCAGTTCCTTTGTTTTGTTCCTTTTTGTATAAATTACAGATAAAATACTTTTAACATACATATTATCATTGCAAATCTTATGTTATGTTTATAAAACTGTACTTCGCATAGATATAATGATAAGCGAACAGTAGTTGAATTAAGAATACTTAGTTAAACCACTTATCATGGGTTGCCTGCTCAAATTGAAGAGAAGTGGTTCAAATAAATACGTGTAGTGCAACTACTTCTGGCTATTGACTAAATCTGTTGGGTTGAGATTAGTAAATAATATTTGTTAAAGGAACTGAAGGCAAAGGCCCACAAACTCTTTGGGTCCCCGACCAAGCCGAGCAGCGAGATGATCGAGGAGCTGCAGGACCAGGAGGAGGGGATGGAGGACGAGGGGATCCATCAGGACGAGGAGGACGAGGTCGCATATAAAGGTAAGACAATTTGAAGTCTAATCAAGGAATCAAAAGATTCAAAGTTTAAAGTTTCAAGGATACCATTGTTTATCTATCATGCATGATACCTCTCTTACTGTAGGGCATGATGTACATTGGTACAAGCGTTCTGACGAAAATGAAAATCACTCATTTTATCAGTCCATCCCCCCCCCAATTTCCCCTTCCGCCCCCCTCCGCATCTCAATCAACTGGCTAATTCTGATACACATATATTTTCCATTAAGAAGCGGGTACTCATTGTAAGATATAAGAAGGAATAATTGACTCATTCTTTTGCAGGGGCGTATACAGGATTAAAGCTTTATCAGATTATAAAGAAAATTTTAGTTTTGAAATTAACTTAGAATCAATTTTAAGCGCAGGATGACCCACTTTTCTAATGCATTGTGTAGTGCTCAGCCTCTAAAATTTGATTTTTTAGAAATAACAGACATTTTTTTTTAAAATGAATTATTTCTGTAAATTTTAAAAAATGAGGAAATAATCGAGTTTGATAAGGGACGCTCTGTGTATTTATATATCTTGTTCATTATATCCAATCTATGACGTCAGGACGACGCATTGGTAAAACTGTGTAAAGGGTACGGGTCACTTACTCACCCATTATTAATTCATCTTTTTCTTCCTTGATCTTTTGCGTCATGGGTCACACTCATTGTCCCTCTTTATGTCTTCTCCTTATTCCCTTACGGCATGGGTCACACTCACTTGTCCCTCTTTATATCTTCTACTTATTCCCTTACGGCATGGGTCACACTCACTTGTCCTTCTTTATTTCTTCTCCTTATTTCCTTGAGTCATGTCGAGAAGGGTTCAAGACAATATAATTAGTTGATTAATTCAATTTGATTTTAATCCTGCTTTAATTATCCTTGCCAGGCGCGTAACTGGGAGTTTTAGAGGGGGAGGGGGGTGCACAAATTAATTTTATGATTTTGAACATAAGAAATAAATATTAAAACACCCCTAAAATAAACATATTTAGTAATGTAAATGGTGCATAATTGAAAGACTGTGTGTCAAGTTCTTGGTCCATAATTTGGTTATGTAAATAGTTGGAACTTAGTCAGTTAAACTTTCTTCTGCTTCCAAATANCCACCCACTGAGCTACGTTTATATATTTTTATTTTTGACTGTCTGTTTGTCTATCTTTTTGTTTATACCCAATAAACGGCTGAACCAATCTGTCTAAAACTTGACCGAATTTTTAAATGTTGTCATAAAAAAAATTAGTTTTTATTTTAATTTGGAAATCTGCTGATAATGAAGTTTTTATTATTTATTTATGAAGGCGATGGAAATCCTTGTCAACCATCTAGAAATTAGCAAATTTTTGCCTTTCTGGGATATCGTTTAAGTAATTTTGTTCTTCCTGCCTTTTTCTTTTCCCCTAGAAAATAGAAGACTGTCAGTACAAAAGAATAATTAATTTCGCAAAGTTAATTATCTCTTATATATTGCGTACAAAACTATTATATAACTTTGTTAAGATAAAGTTATGAATTAGAATATTTTCTTGACTAATAACAAAATTTAGAAAATCTTGTTGGCTAATATTTAATTTCGTCAATTTCTAACGAAATCGCAGATATCTATAGAAGTTATGCACCCAATTTTAAGACCGGGTCGGCTTTAAAATGATGTAACGTCTCCGCATTTGGTTTTACCTCAGACAATTCCACGGTTATTTTTTTTGTAGCCATGTATATATTTTAAAACTGTAATGCTCTCGCTTCTAGCTTTAGCTTTAAAGGAGTAGTTGGGAAAATCCTGATCCTCAATGGCGAGAGAGTTTTATACTTAAATTTACAGTAAACTTGGACCCAGTTTGTTATTTTGAATTGTCTTCAAACCGGATCCGGCTTGTTCAGAAATCCGGTTCCTAAGGACCGCTTCTTAGTGCTTGCCGGAGACAACCCTTAAATTAATGAAAGTAAGAAGTTGTATATGTTCTGGTATATATCTTGATACATCTTTCTCATTAACTATGATATATCATGCTAATATACTAGATATACAGAATACTGTAAACATATATCTACCCGCTAGATGTGATGTAAGGGGGTATCATTTATTAGAATAACATTCACAACATCCTAGCCTGCAGTCTGCGGAGAGTAAGAACAAGTTTTGTTAAAACCATTTTATAGGGTGACACGGTCCGGTCAGCCCATGGATACGTTTCGGCGACTAGGAGCGCCGACCCCTTTTTCATTGAATGATGGGTTGTCCTTTAATAATAATAATAATAATAATTGGATCAATATTGCATATTTTTAATTATGCATTTTGATATAAATCCCGTCTTTTCTCATAATTTATTACGGATAATCCTCTTGTGTTTAACCCCCCCCCCCCCACACACACCACCTGAAAAAAAAACATTAAAAGGACTGTAGACGTAATTGCAAGTTAATTCAATCTTTTTAAAGGGAGGTTTTTACAAAATTATTTTAATTCTTTTAATAAAAAAATCTTTCACCGTTCCCCCTCCTCCATGAAAAAGTTTGCCAACCTTGCTTTGATGCAGTATTATACCCGGTTTTAGAGTAAATGATTTATTTTATTAAATTGAACCCAGCTGGGGCCCTCCTATTGAATTGAAGAGGATTATATTCAAGTGTTCTGCAATTTATTTCCAATGGAACCCGTCTATTAAAAACTTTATAGTTCTACTGGAAATAAAGGTTGTAATAAATTTGTAAAATATCGACTTTGCTTGAACTTAATTGTGAACATTTAGCTTCGGTCAGGACTCAAATGTTTTGATTATAACAAGTTTAATAATAAGGTTTAAACAAAATTGAAAAATAACAATTTCTTAATTTTAGAACGAATCCGGAATGAGTTGAACCGCGGACTTCAGGAAAGGCGCACTTCAGCTGAACTCACAAGCGCAGTGCCGCAAACAGATATTTTGGATAACACAGCTGCACGTGGTCGAGCAGAGCTAGCAAGGTACCATTAAATCTGGGAAAATTCACTTCGATAGTTAATTTGTTATACGACTCTATTAGTCTGACAACAAGTCATTCAACCCAATGCCCTTTAAATTATCTAAGTAACTTTATGGTAATTTTCATGAATTAAATATCAGACATCAGCATAAAGGGTTGCAAATCGTAGAAGGAGGGTAGAAATTGCATCAACAGTATATTTAACGCTTGGTGTAATTTTGTTTCGAAGATGTTAACATTCATTACTTTGTTCTAGTGAAGTAATCGAGGCTGATTTCAGACAGGGTAGCCTAGCTGACCGTCAACTTCCAGCCAGCCTAGCAGCTCGCCGTCAAAACAGTAATCCTAGTGATCCCGGTGTAGGGAGTGGGGCTAGTGCTAGTGGTGGCAGTGCTTGTGTTAGTAGAGACAGTGAGGATGATGAAGGTGATCGGCTTGGTGCAGTTAGGTTTGATACCGAGGAGGAGTCGGGAGAAGGAGGAGGGGTTGATGGAGAGGAAAAGATGAGACTTCATAGACGGGATACTCCGCATCATCTTAAGAATAAAAGGATAAACCAACAGGTAGATTATCAAAGGTCGGAATTAATGAAAGCAGATGTGGATTAACTGGGTATGGTCTCATTTAATGGCGGTCTAAATTTTTTTTTTAACTTGTTTTTTTTTATGCTAAAATTCCTTAAAAATATATTTCGGTCCATGCTTCATTACTTAGATTCTAAATAATTTTCTTGGCTTTAAAAAAATGTATAAATTTTAATTTGGCAAAGGGGATGGTGGAGTTGGTTAGGTTATCATATCGAAAGCTATATCAAACGAAAGCTAGGAACCCCAGGAATACAGTAGCAGCAACAAATCCAGTGTTTGACCTTCAAATAACCTCTTACGACCTCTAATGACCTCTTTGACCTCCAAAAATGAAAATGTTTTAACTATGACTTAATGCATATCAAACGAAAGCTAGGAACCCCAGCAATACAGTAGCAGCAACAAATCCAGTTTTTGGCCTTCTTATGACCTCTAACGACCTCTAATGACCTAAATGACCTCCACATATGAAAATGTTTTAACTATCGCTTTATGCATATCCAACGAAAGCTAGGAACCCCAGGAATACAGTAGCAGCAACAAATCCAGAGTTTGACCTTCAAATGACCTCCAAAAATGAAAATGTTTTAACTATGGCTTTATGCATATCAATTAAAAGCTAGGAACCCCAGGAATACAGTAGCAGCAACAAATCTAGTTTTTGACCTTCTAATGACCTCTTACGACCTCTAATGACCTAAATGACCTCTAAAAATTAAAATGTTTTAACTATGGCTTTATGCACATCAAACGAAAGATAGGAACCCAGGAAATGCCGTAGCAGCAACGAATCCAGTGTTTAACCATCTAATGACCAAAAATAAAAATGTTATAACTATGACTTAAAGCATATGAAAAGAAAGCTATACGACCCAGGGAATACAGTAGCAGCAACGCATCCAGTGTTTGTCTTTCTAACAACCTTTAATGACCTCCAAATTGAAAATGTTTTAACCATAGTATGTATTTCAAATGAAAGGTAGGAACTTGAGAATACAGTGGCAGCAACAAATCTAGTGTTTGAACTTCTAATGACCTACAATGACCTTTAATAACCTCCATGAAAATATTTAAATATGGCTTTAGGCATGTCAAACAAACATTAGTAACCCCCAAAGAATCGAGTAGCAGCAACAAATCCAATGTTTGAATTTCTAATGACCTCTAACGACCTGTAATGAACTCCAAATTGAAAATGTTCTAAATAAGGATTTATGTTTATCAATCAAAAGCCAGGAACCAAGACAATAGTACTGGATTTGTTGCTGCTACTGTATTCCTGGGGTTCCTAGCTTTTAATTGATATGCATAAAGCCATAGTTAAAACATTTACATTTGTGGAGGTCATTATGGTCATTAGAGGTCATTAGTGTTCGTTAGAGGTCATTAGAAGGCCAAACACTTGATTTGTTGCTGCTACTGTATTCCTGGGGTTCCTAGTTTTTGTTTGATATGCATAAAGTCATAGTTAAAACATTTTCATTTTTGGAGGTCATTTAGGTCATTAGGGGTCGTAAGAGGTCATTAGAAGGTCAAACACTGGATTTGTTGCTGCTACTGTATTCCTGGGGTTCTGTTTTTAAAATATTTTTTTGATTACTATTCGGGGAACAGTTTTGGGGTATTTTTGGCAAATTATGATCTTTTTGAATTGATGAATATTTCAAATTTTGTTCCCAGTTCATCGCTATTGGCATAATTTGTCATCATAACTTGCAGAATTTGAAGCATGAATTGCCATATTTATAAAATTGGAAGGTCCCATTTTTTATGTGAGGACCATTGAATATTGTATTTAATTTTGAAAACAAATATTGCCTGAGGGTTAACTTAATATTTATGTTCTTCTTCTAGATTGACAAGGACAAGGTGGCTGACATCATAGCTTTAGCTCTTCAGAAGAAAGGAGTTGATGGTGTGGAAGGACGGGGTGTATCCCCGTTACCCTTAGATCTGGGTCTACCCAACCCTATGGTTAGACCTGTGTCTGCTACTGAACCTGTACCTGTACCTCCTAGATCTAATATCAGGTAGGAATAAATACATTATATGCATACACTATATACTACAGGGGTTGGGTTTCACTAAAAACTTGAGACAACAACTGAGATATTGTTCAGCTTTCTAATGACAAATTTGTTTCAAAAGAAATGTTGAATTTTTTGGCCTACGCTTTATCTTTGGATAGCCTCAAAAGATCAAAACTGCTGTTAAGTGGGACAACCAGGCCCTGTTTGTACTAAAAATAATAAAATATGTTCAAACATAAAGATACCTTGTACAGTACACCCGTAATTTTTCATTTGTTATTAACTAATATGTGGAAAATAAAAGTCTCCATAAACAATGTAGGTAAGACCAAGGAAAATCACAAAATCCTCTATTGTAGTTTTGGAAATAATATTAGTACTTCTCAGTACACAAACATCTTTGGGGTTTCTAGCTTAATACAAGGATTTAATGCAAGGAAAGTTATTTCAGAAGTGTACACATCTTTTGTTCTGCAGTGTACTGTCTCTGGGCGGTAATGTAAACACAAGACGGATGTCAAAGCCTCACATGGGATCCATCTTTCACATAAAAAATCAAGGAAATATTCTGGTCATAGGAAACTATTATGTGAATTATCAAAATTAACAAAATTCAATGCTTTTAACCTCCTCGGATACTATACGAACACTGATGCATCTATTCTTGTTTACAATTCCGCCCAAAGAGAACTGGTTTCAATGTGTACGCAGAGTATACACGACCGCAATTAACTTTCCTTGCATTACACCCTTGGCTTAATAAAAGTATGAAACAAGATCCCTTTTTTAAAAACCGTTAGATATGCACTGTTAGGTTTTCAAAATTACACTAGATTAGAATGTTGGATTAGTTAACAAACAGTAAGAAGAACTAAGTTGAAGAAGGTTTTGTATATATTGGAAGAAATAATATCTGTTGTGATTGAATCGAATATTAATTAAAGGGACTGTAAGCGTAATTTTCCTTCATGTAAAGAGAGAAATGATAATTCACAATAGTACCCTTGAAACATTTAACTGATCTTTTCATTACAGATTGTTTCCTATTTATCTACAGAAATGTTGTAACGTTGATCAGTTGGTTTTCAGCTGTTCTTTTATATTTAAGCAAGATAAATATTTTCTAGAAGTTGCGGAAAATAGATATTTACAACAAAAAACTGGGAGCTGTACATCGAGTATTCTTCATTTTTGATGAATATAAGTAACATCAGATCAACTGTGTGGAGTTCACTGTACGCTAGCGTACTCTCTTGTTTTACGGCAAATCAAACACCTTTTTAGAGATAAGCACGCGGAGATTGTAATATATTATGATATAAGGGTTACTGTTGTAAATCAAGCATTTCCCTATTTGTGTGGAGGGTCACCTGACATTACTCTTACAGTCCTCTCATTTAATAAAAACCAATTTAAATCTGAACAGAACATTTAGCTCTATCTACAACTACACTATTTTATTTATAAACAAGTTTGTGTGTGAAGTTTACTGTTAATTTGCAACTTTTAGTTATTGCATGCATTGCTCTAAGTTGTTTTAACTTATCAGGAAACTGCACTCTGCTAAACTTTTCAATTGAAAACAACCCTCTTTTAGAGGAAAATTCAATCTTTTAAAAACAGGGGTAAATTTTGTTGCAAAATAATTTTATCCCTCCTCACCTTTTTGAGAGAATCTGTTACTAACCTTTTTTCAGAGATTTATTAGCTGAAATGGGGAAAGTAAATATTTTCCAAAAAAAAATTGTTCAATTTGAACCTGCCTAAATAAGTGTTTAGATTAGGAGGATTTAATAAAAATTACCAAATTTTGGGCAAAAGTATTTCAAATGGTGTAAAAGTTGTCTTTAAATTAATTTCCTAGAGCTTAAAAAATCATTCTTTGTGATATGTGAGATGAGATCTGCAAGAAGCCACATATACTCCTGAAATATAATTAGCCTTAATAACTGTTATTGTGGTTTTATTATGAGAATCTGTTTGAATGGTTTGTGTCCTTGGTATATAGGCTCTCGAATCTTCTTTAAAATCTCCCATTAATCTCCCCATTTGATTTTTCTTTAGTTCATTCAAATCAATTTTATCAAACAATTCAGAAAATGTATTATATATGAAATATTTTGTATTGAATTTAGAGAAATAAATTAAAAGTATTGAACAGACTCTTCATTGACAATAAATTTGGTTTATGCTTTTCCCAAAGTCAAAATGTTTTAGATTAATCAGAAAGTTTAAAAATTAGTTTAATATGCTAAAATTCTTGGATTTGCGTTTTGAACTTAAATTAATTTGCAAATATTTTCTAATATTTGAATATTAGGAATGGTGGGGGGGGGGGGGGAGCTTTTAAATGTGTTATTGTGTAGTTTTGTTTAAGGTGTTTTTAAAATTTACTTTAAGTCAAAGAGAAAATTAAGATATATTGGTTTATTCAAACAAGATTTATTAAATATGAAATAAAAAGCTATGAAGTATGCCGGCATATCCAGTTAAATCCTTGAATCCCATTCTGACAGAACTTTATGCAATAATACAATTGTATTGATCCAAACAGAAATTGGCAGAATCCATCAAACCGCTCCAACCATTTCAGGGGTATTTATTTTCCATCTGAAATAAATTGAAATAATATTTATAATTAATATTTAAAACATGCAATAGTATCCTTTTGTAAAGTAAAAATCACTGCTTGGATCCGCAACATTTTTGCTTTCTCGGATCTGGATCCGGATCCAAGGGGCAAAATATCAACTAAACATTGTTAAAAATTTTCCTCAGAACATGAATCTCAATTGTCAACTAATAAGAGGTTATTAATGACGTCACCTGTTTTTGTTTTGGATGATCAAGTTTCAGCAAAAAAAATAAGTGACAATTTGAATTTTGAAATTAGAAAATTTTTGATTTGTTCAAAACATAAGTATATCTGAAAGAAATGTTCATGACTAGAACCTGGGTGAAATGAAATGGAACTTATGAACTGGCGACCCACTTTGTAAGTTTAGAATTAAATGTGTATTAGAGATTTTTTATCATTTAAGTTAAATTCTCAAATGCAAATTAAAGTTTTCTGATTATTTTTGAATAAAAATTTCAAATATAATATTTAAACACAATTAAATATCCCCTCTTCAGACTTTCATGTCTTTTGCTGAAGTTTTACACTTAATTAATTAACTTTTAAACTTTGATATAATTAATTTTACATTGAAATCAAATGTAATTAATCTTACTTAAAAATTGAATCAGGGGTTGTACAATTTATTTGATATTTGATGAAGATATTTTGAGGATAATAATAAAAAGTTTCTAGTCACAAAACAGTCTGTTTTCTGTATTTTTGTTCTTATTTTTCCTCTTTTTTCTGTCTCTGTGTCAGAAAGAACTTTACAAAGTGCTGAGAAAACTTTTGTGATACCTCTCTTATCTTCGATTTTATTGGAAATACAAGCCCAGCTCTCCTACAGGGATGTTGTAATATAAAAAAATTAGAAATGATCCAAGAAAAAGTAAGAAAAACAAAAATTATCTTTATAAAAATAAAATTTGCCATTGAAAAAAAACATAAGACAGTTTTTTTCTTCTAAAAACTTGAATGATTAATGTCGGGACTTATTGGCGTCTTAAGTATTGGCTGGCTTTGAATGGCTGAGCATTCTAATGTTTTTTTTTCAATTTAGTTGTTTACTTTCGAACGTCTTTCATTCATTATCGGAATTTTGCTCAGCCTTACCACCATCTGATAAATGGGGTTTGATAGTTAAATCAACCTTAGGTAGAAATTAAAATTGACGATTTTTTATTAACTTTTTTTTATTTTGATTTTGTCTAATAACATTATGATTTAATTCGTTAATTAAAAAAAAAACCACATTAATTAATTGATCTTTGGCCAGTCTTAGTTGGGTAGTCTCTGGTTTAACTGATATAAGTCCAATAATCAGATATATAGAAAACACTGAACCTCAGGCAACCTTAGATATCCTCCACTCACCAGTTCCAGTTTAGAAAATATTATTCCTACAACTCAACCATTTTAATAATTTTAAGTGGCTAGAGCTAGACATATTCTTTTATATGTTTCTTGAACGTGATAATTCCATAGGGTACTTAACTCTATGTACCCTGCGTCTGGTAACTGGTTTCTGAAGAAAAAATAGCAAACTTGCAAAACCAAATGTTTTTTGCGAAATCTGATTATTAACAAATAATGTGAAAAACAAAAACAAAAAATGCACAAATTGCAACAAATTATACATATTTGAAAAGCCCTTGACCCACCGAATTTAAATCTTTCAAAAAAATGTCAAACTTACTAAAACCTAAATATGTATTCAAGAAAAGCTGAAAATATGCAAATTCCCTTAAAAGGCGTCTGTGCAAAATCTGTGCAAAATTTCTTTGCACAAATTGTAAGATCTGGTTGCTTTTGTTAAAGGCTTTCCAAAGAGCTGGAAAATGTTTATATCCAATGATTTGAAGGAGGTCTTAATATAGATTTAATCTGGTAAAGGTATAATAAGACATTTAGGCAGCATGCCCGAGGACTCAGGCAGTAGGTTTAAAAGCCCAGCTTTTAGCCTTAAGGAATGGGCATGTGGTAGTTAGAAAAGTCAGAAAATTTGAGCGTCCTAGCTCAAATACCTTTTGAGTTATTGCAAAAAAAAAAGATAGTGTGGGGGTGAAATTGCCCCCCCCCCCTAACTTAATATCAGGCCTTGATTTTCCTTATTAACAACACAAATTATTTTTAGAACTCAACCACTTTAATTATGTTAAGTGGTGAGATCTAGGATTTGGCCAAATATCAATATTATTTTTATGGATGTTTTAACGTAATAATTCCCCATTTGCTAATTAATATCAGAGCTAGATTTTTCTGATTTTTGTCGACGTCAAAAATTATATCTTAAAACCATAAAATTAGTTTTAGCCATTTTACTTTGTTTCTTATTAATTCATAGGTTTGAAATAATATTTTGTAATTTTTCGTACATTTTATTTGTTTCTTATTATTTTTAGTGGGTTTGAAATAATTTTTGGTAATTTTTTGTACATTTTATTTGTTTCTTATTATTTTTAGTGGGTTTGAAATAATTTTTGGTAATTTTTTGTACATTTTATTTGTTTCTTATTATTTTTAGTGGGTTTGAAATAATTTATTTTTCGTACATTTTATTTGTTTCTTATTATTTTTAGTGGGTTTGAAATAATTTTTGGTAATTTTTCTTACATTTTGCTTTGTTCCTTATTATTTGAGCGGGTTTGAAATAATTTTTGGTTATTTTTCGTACATTTTACTTGATTCTTATTATTTAAGTGGGTTTGAAATCATTTTTGGTCATTTTTCCTACATTTTGCTTTGTTTCTTATTATTTGAGTGGGTTTCAAATAATATTTGGTCATTTTTCTTACATTTTACTTTGTTTCTGAGCGGGTTTATTTGAGCGGGTTTGAAACAAGGAGTATGGAATAGAAGGGAGATACAACTGACGCGGCCCGCCCTGCCATATGATTATGCATGCTTTGCAGACGGGTACTCCATTTGGTTTAAGAAATATTCAGAACAGGTTATTGTATACGCGGTAATTGTACATCAGACAAATATTTCTAAAACAAATGAAGTACCGTCTGTATAATCATATGGTAGGGCGGGCCGCGTCAGTTGTATCTCCCTTCTATTCTATACTCCGTGGTTTGAAATAATTTTTGGCCATAGTGAACTTATCCAATTTTTTCTTTGGTTTTTATTATTTGTCGTTTCTCTACTCTCTGTAAAATTGTGTCTTGTGTCCCAAGTTTTCTAATTTCTGGACACGATGAAAATTTAGACCAAATCTTGGGCAAATAAAATCTTGCAATCAGAAAGATATTTGCTCAGTACAAAGTCAATCACTGATAGATATTAGATTTCAACTTTCAGATTTCTTTTTTTTTAGAAATAACTTATCCATTCACGTACATTTTTGAAAATCAATTTTTACTGAAAATAACTCACTCCTTTTATACTAAATAAAGAAATCAATTCTGTAGAACGTAGTAGAGTGTTTCTTATCATATTGTACATCTCAAAGATGTTATATATATTAAGAAATCCCAATTTAGAGTTATGCATTATTCAATGTAATTTGGGACATCCTTCACACGCTGAAATGTGTTTAGAATATACATAGTTTCTAGAAAAAATGCATTTAAGTTTGTAATATTCTAAAGTTTTCATTTTCCTCATCAAAGCTCTTTGATTATAAAGTTGTTTTCAGCGTTTACTATGCATCCCCGGCCTGAACCTAGGCTAGAGTTGGCCTGGTTGGATGGGTTTAGGTCAGGGTTACTCCTAGAGTAGGTTCCGGTCAGAACAAATATCAAATAGAGAAGGTTTTGGCCCGGGTGCCTCTAGTAAAATCAAATATTTTCCAGTCCAAATAAGAATTGAAATAGGAGATCAAAAATTGTGAATTTTGGCATGTACGCTGTACATTGTACAGTGTACGCCGTACACCTGCTCTTTAAATGTCATATCTAGAGGTTTTTTAATCTATGATAATATTACTAAGAAATAGGCATCGTTGTGAGGTCTTTTTAAAACAGTTGAGTGCTTTTGGCGTCAGAGGTTCCCTGTAAGAATCCTATATTTACAGGGCAAAATCTGATTTTCATCAAGTTTGTTTTTTCTGATTATGTAAAAAAATTTCTCAAATCACTAAAACTATTTTGAAAAAAGTTTACAAGTACTAGTCTACAAATCGTTCTGAAAAATCGTTTTGTTTTGTTTCTTTGATTTGAAGTTAAAATGTTGCATAACGTAGTAATAGCAAACATCTCAAATTCTTGTGGAACTTTTTTAATGGCAAAAGCAAGCCTTAAAGTTATTATTTCGTAGTAATACTGGGCAATTAAACTGAAATGATTGATAACGGGTCCCAAAACGTTGCCCATCCCTAGTGTTAGTGAGCTAATAACATTGAATCACACTATGAATGTTCAATTGTTCATTGTGCATAAGCAGCATGATCTCAAAACAATTTTATCAATGACAGTAAATACTTCACTCTAATTCTATAAGTTCTTAAATAATATCTAAAATCTAAAAAGTAAAAAATTGTTAGTTTGTCTTAAAAATTGACTATTCGATAAAATAAAACATTGGGATGATTTGGATGTTTTCCTACATCTCAGTTTGAATTTAATGAATTTAAGTCGCGTTTCAATTGAGCTCCAGCTGAAATCATGAAATATTTAATACAATCTTAAGTGGAACCAACCATATTTGAGCCGCGGCTCAAATTCTTTAAACCCGGCCTATGGAGTAAACCCTGGTTTAGAATTGATCAAGGAGAGAAGGCAGAGAAATATTGCCTAACCTGTATTAAACACAAACATCCAGGGTCAAGAAGTACACATAGTTTATATCTTAGTGTTCCAGGAGTACAAAACAACAGGTACTTGTCTGGATAAATGAGTGAGCACGTAAAGAGTAGATATGTAAACAACGCGACAGTTACACTTGGAATTGGTTTATTGCATGCACCTTTTCGGTACTGGAGGCACTAGCTAGGAAAATTCACAAAGAACCCCCAGTAAAGTTTATACTTATAGAGTACACATGTATTTAAGTACATAATGGTTCAGCTTGAAATTGTTTTAATGCAGTTATACCCAATAGCTAGGAACATTCACATGGAACCCCCAATATAGTTGATTTGCATAGAGTACACACTAAACATGCATTTAAGTACACAAGGGCTCGACTTAAAATGGTTTTCATGTGCTTTTCTCCTCTAGAGGCGGAATCTTGAACATATAACCTGGACCCCCCCCCCC